TATTTTAAAGAACGTCACTTCCATGAAGTCAAAATTTTTTCGCACTAAAATATCAATTTTGTTGTCAAAATTTTATCTGTTTAAAATGTCACTTGTAACATTTTATTTGGTTAACAAAATTATTTGTATTTATCTATTTATTTATTTAAATTTTTGGAGTGTTATAGAAACCCTCCTGGTTCTCTGTTGGATATCTTCTCAACATAAGTGCTCAAGACCTTCTCTGATCAACTCTCTGTTAAAGACACCAGAAGGCCTGACACTTAGAAGAATTCCACCAAGCCGGGAAACCAACTGAAAGATTCCTTCAACGGCTAGGAGTCTTGAACGGAAAAGCTACAGTGCGTGCATTAAATGCACATTTAATGCTCCCCATACTCCGTAGAGTAATTGCAGATGATTGGCCGCAATGTCAGGATTACTTTATCCCAAAATAGTAACCCGCCAACTTTACCGGGTCCTACTGGTCAAGTCAACTGCTCGCTCATTTAATGCAGTTGTCCTCCTTCTCCTCCAACGGGAAGACAACCTCAGTATAAAAGATACACTACGAAGAACAACCGGATAACTTTGCTAACTTTTGCTACAACTCTGCATACAAGATATTCAAACGCCAAAAACGCAAAAAAGCCTCCTTGAGATTAAAACTTCATCATCCTCTACAAGAGAAGGCAGAAGTTGGAAAAATCCTTATTTCCAACTCAAGCAAAGTTCCAAGTGTTCTTCAACTCTTCAAGCTCGTCACCTACAAATTCTTTGTAACGAAGCAAGTTGGAGAAACCTCTGTTCTAAATAGAACCTCTTCTTTCACAAGAAGGACGTCCAAGTACCTGGAGCAGTGAAGTGGTGATACTTCTGGAAAGTTCAATGAAAGGACCAGTCTTAGGGAAGCCGGAAGTGCATCCAAGAAGACATCTACACTTGAAGAAGACGTGAAGAGCTTTTTAAGTGATTGGGCTAAGGCATTGTAAACGGAAGTTTTTACAAGCTTAGTCGAACAGTGGACTAGAGGAACAAGTTGTTCCTTGAACCACTATAAAGCCCTGGTGTCATTTACTTACTGCTTTACTTTCATTGTTTTTATTTGAACTGTCTAACTCCAAAGACTTGGTATCTGTGTTCAGCAGAACTTGTCTTGTGAGTTAACAGAAGGCCTACTACCTTTGCTTCTCTGAGGCTACTAACAGAACTCCCTACCAGAACCCCATCCGCTGCCAGTCTGTTCTGTCAACAGAACAGGCTATTCTGTTAAATCTGGTACTTAGCTTGAAAAAGTTAAAAAACCAATACAGTCTATTCACCCCCCCTCTAGACTGTATCCAGTACAACCGGGACCAACAAGTGGTATCAGAGCCTCCTTGTTCTAATAATCTCTTAGGTTATTTGCTGAACAAAGATCCACTTGTTTTTCTGTTTTACCTCATTTTTATCTGATATAATGGATCACTCTCTGTCAAAGAATCTTATGTTCTCAGATCTCAAATTTGATGCCTGGATGATCCGGATGAAGGCACATCTCTGTGCTCTGCATGATGAGATGTGGGAAGTACTTGACATTGGGCCCTTCACAAGCTTCCAGAAGGTCAACCCTGAACATGCTATTGACAACACTAGACCTCAGATGATCAATAAGGCCAAATCTGAGTGGACGACTAAAGAAAGAAGGAAGTACAATCTGGACAACATTGCTAAAGACATTCTTTACAAGTCCATCGATGATAGGTACTTCAACAGAATAAAGAAGTGCAAGACTGCAAAGGAAATCTGGGATACTCTTGAGCTCATTGGAGCTGGTGATGAGCAAGAGGACAACAAGCTGACAATAGCCAACAAGAAGTTTGATGACTTCAAACTACTTCCTGGTGAAAGCATCTCCAAGATGTATGACAGGCTCCTCACTCTCACTGGAGAGATCTCTGAGCTTGGCAAGGAACTCACCACCAAGGAGATCAACCTTAAAGTGTTGAGGGGACTGCCCTTAGCATGGAAGATGAAGGTGGTTCCTGTCCAAGCCAGCAAGGATGTGAAGACTTATCCCACTGATAAGCTCATTTCATATCTCAAAGCTCATGAGTTTGAAATGATTGAAGAAAAAGAAGATGTACCAGAAGAGAGGACCACTACAGCCCTCACTGTCAGCACATCAAAGGTAAATGATTTTGACCCTTCAGTACTTTTATCTGACGAATATATGGCTGCTTTTGCTAGGAGATTCAAGAAGTTCATGAAGAATCCCAAAGATGGAAGGAGTCCATCATTCAGAAGAAAGTCATTCCAGAAGGTCAAAACAACAGAAAGCAGTGGTGAGCTTCTCTGTTACAACTGCAGACAACCTGGACATTTCAAAGCAGATGCCCTCACAAGCATCTGCCCAAAGTGAATCACACTTCAGTTTACTATAACTACCAGGTGGACAATGGGTACCACCCACCAAGGTTTCACCTGATGAGACGAAAATGGTACCAACTACCCAGACTCCATGACCCCCCAAGACCCAGCATTGCTTGGGTACCTAAATCTTTCTTTTGACCTTGCAGGAACTGTGTGCTGGAGCTATCTCAGAGCAAGAATGGTTTATTGATAGTGGATGCTCCAGGCATATGACAGGTGACAAAAGTTGCCTAACTGAGTTCCAGAAATGCAAAGGACCTAGAGTTACCTTTGGAGGTAATGACAAAGAAGGCCAAACAAAAGGAAGAGGAAAAAGGTGACAAAAGTTGTCTAACTGAGTTCCAGAAATGCAAAGGACCTAGAGTTACCTAGTCATTGATGATGTCTCATATGTCAAAGGACTGAATTTCAACTTGCTGAGTGCTAGCCAATTCTGTGACAAAGGCTACACTGTTGAATTCACAAAGGACTTCTGCTATGTGAAGCATGAGACAACAAAAGAAGTGGTTCTTACAGCATCAAGGAAAAAGAACATCTATGTGGTTGATTGGAACACAGCAAAGGATGGAGTTTGCCTGATAGCCAAGGGAGATTCAAAACTAAGCTGGGACTGGCACAAGAAGCTTAGCCATTTGAACTTCAAAACAATCAACAAACTGGAAAGAGAACACATAGTTGATGGACTGCCAGACATAGTCTACAAGAAAGAGACCCTCTGCAGTGCATGCCAGAAGGGAAAGCAACAGAAGAACTCTTTCAAACCCATTGCTGGAGATCTTTCTACAAGTCCTTTAAATCTGATCCACATGGATTTATTTGGACCTGTTGAAACTCCAAGCGTTGGTGGCAAGAAATACACTCTGGTCATGGTTGATGACTATTCCAGATATACATGGACTATCTTTCTGTCAAAGAAAAATGAAACTCTTCAGAAGTTGCCATCTCTGTTAAAGCAACTTCAGACTGAGAAGAACTTGAAGGTTAAGACAATCAGGTTTGACAGAGGAACTGAATTTGTCAACCAAGTCATAAAGGATTTCTGTGATCAAAATGGAACCTTTCATCAACTCTCTGCCGCTAGAACCCCTCAACAGAATGGCGTAGCAGAAAGGAGGAACATAACTTTAAAAGAAGCTGCAAGAACAATGATTGCAGAATCTGGACTACCTATGAGATATTGGGCTGAAGCAATCAATACTGCATGCTATACTCAGAACAGAAGCATGATCAACAAGAATCACCAGAAGACCCCCTATGAACTCTGGAAAGGAAGAAAAGCCAACATCGGTTACTTTCATGTGTTTGGATGCAAATGCTACATCCTTAACAATGGAAAGGAGCATCAGAAAGTCATTCAAGAGAAAGCTGATGAAGGTATCTTTATAGGCTATTCAAACACCAGTAAAGTGTGACACTCCAAAACATTTAAATAAAATAAATAATTTTATTAGTCAGATATGATATTTCAAAAGTGACATTTTATTAATTATGTAAATAAGATAAAATTTGAACATTTGTAACATTTTTAGTCAGATAAAAATGTTTCAATGATAAAAGTGACATTTTTGTAACTGGTGATAATTATACTGACAAAATATTAGAAGCAACATTTTATCAAAAAGTACCGATTATTATTAATGTCAAAACATACACTACGTCAAAGAAAAAGTTAATAAAGAATTAAAGATGATAAAAAGTGACTTCACAAACGTAATTTATATACGACATGCATACGTAAAAACAATAATTGAGATTAATTCCTCCAATATAATTGATTGAATATAATTGATTGAAGTACAATAAAACACTACCCTACGTATCAATTCAGCGGTCATATGCTTATAATAATTGAGATTAACTAGTAATAATAATACGGAATATATCATACACATGGCTACCATACCAATCCACATGGGCATGTCAAGGCCAAAGATGCTCAATCCATGTACTATTTATCCTCCATAATTCATCACCCTCAACAATTGAAAAAAACTGCTTTCATATAAACATATTCTATATAGCCGTATGTATACATGTGTTTCCTGCGATCTCCAAAAGAAAAACAAACAAAATATATTTATAAACGAACGAAAGAGTGAAATAGGGAGAGGAATACTTGGGCTACTACTTCGACGACTAAGAAGAACGGGAGAAAACCTTGAGCAAAGTGGCCGGAAACCGTTGTCGGTGAACTTGACCAAAACCGCCGGAAGGAGAAGCAAGGATGTCGCCGGACTGATTTCATGAGAGAGGGGTCGTCACCGTCATCTTTGAGGATGGATCCGAGCCTGCTGCCGTCTCTGGAAGAGAAGGTCGTCGCCGAGAAAGAGGAGTACGCCGCAGTCAACGACAATTCCGACTCCATCCTACCGCCGGAGTAAACAAGATCGTCTCCTAGCGTCGCAGCCACCAAACGTTGCCTAGAACATGCGCGCCACTTACAGGAAGAAAGCAGGCCAGGGTTGGAGAGTAAAAGCCGGACATGTGCCACCGAAGGAGAATGGCCAGAGGAAAAGAAGTCGGTGGACTGGCCGGGTTAAACGTCGGGAGATCATCACCTCTGTCCTCGTGGAGCAGCGGAGGCGGAAGCCTGCTTCTCGTTGTCGCAGGGGTGGTGTCGCGTTGTTTCACCGGTGCTGAGTGAAGAAGACGCCGAATGTATGTCGTTTCCTTCTTTGTTTTCTTTCTATAGTACGGCCTATGCATTAGTATAGTGCGTAATACTTCCTCCGTCTCTTTTTAGTTGCAACATTCCCTTTTTCACGTTTTCCAACGCACAACTTTGACTGTCATTATATTTAATTCCGTATTAGTAAAATTAAAATAAAAATCAGATTATAAAACTTAGTAATGAGACGAATTTAACAATATTTTTCAAAAAAAATAATTCACATACATTAATAAATAAAATGTAGTCAAAGTAGAGTACATGAATAGTGCATATATTCCAATGTTGCAACTAATGCGATACGGAGGATAGTAGTATTGTAATGTGATTAAAGTGTACGGACTGATTGGAAATAAATTAAGTATTTTAGTATATTAGTATATTTAAGTTAATACAAGGTGAGCCAGTTAATCGCAATATTGTAAATAAAGGATTAATTCAAGAATGTTAATATTCTAGAAGGTGAATTTGGAGAAGTTCGAGGTAGAAAGCTTTGGATTAGGATTTATCGTGATTCGAGGTAAGTTTCTCTGTCAATCCAAAATCGTTTCCTCGTATTATATATGTATTATGTGATACGTGATTTTAATGTGAGTTATGATGTATATGCATGTGATTTTGAGATTTGTTCGATATGTGATATTTAAGAAGTGAAACTAAGTGCTTTTAGGTGTTGAATATTTTATTTAAACATTTCCGAGACAGTTTGAGAAATTGAGGAATATTTTGAAGTATATTAAACCAAGATAAAAGAATGATTTCATAAAAAGTGAGCACCACGGGAGAAATCCGTGGTTTCGGTTTTCCACATCCGGATAAATGTGGAGGGTGATTAGAGTGGCTACTACTAAGAAGTACAGTTTGAGTAACTTTCGGATCGATGATCCCTTTTAAGAAAGAGAGTTGTGGTAGTAGTAGTAGTTCCGACGTAAAAGGCCTGCTACTGCTAAGGATGAGGATAAATTTTGACTGATAATTGGATCGATGATCCCTTTTAAAGTTATAGTAGTAGTCCCTAATCATTCAAGAATTTTTAAAGGTGGGGTGGTTGGGTTCCGACCACTCGGGATGACTTACTACTCAGAGGGCTTGGAATCCCTTTTAGGGGGTGTGCACACTTAAGGTAGTCGTTTCGTTTCCATTAGCAGTTGTGGTACCGGGAAAAGTCCCGGGGTGGCCGTACATAATAACGTAACCACCGGGCTCAACCAGAGTGTTGAGCACCGCCCTTCTAAATTACTAGGAAGTTAGAAAGATTGGGATTTTGAAAATCCAAAGAGAAGAAGAGTTTACAATTTAAGAAGTGACTTTTGAGGTGATACTCAGAAAAGAAGAATTTATTAATAATGAAGTAATTTTTTTTGAAGTGAATAAAAGAGAAAAGGATTTCGGTGGAGTGAGTTATTTTTATATAATATTATATAAAAATCTATTTTAGTAAAACGTGATTATTTTACGGGGTTGGGTAGTACTTACTTAGCTCTAAAGCTAATTTTTCTTTCCTTTTCCTTGTTTTGTAATCTGCACTTTATTTGTGCAGGTGATGATGTCTATGTTGATTGTTGATTGCATGCGTCTGAGAGCGGTTGCTAGATGCCTTAGTAAAATCTAGACATGAATGAACATTTTAGTTACGTTGAACATTTGTTTCTTCATATTACAATTAATTATGACTATTTTGTTTTAGTTGCCTGTGCATCCGGTTAAGAGATGACCGGATGTGGCGGTAACACCCGTTTCCCTATTTAAATTATTTCCGCTGCAAGATTTTTATCAATTTCGAATGAATAAAGCAAGTTTATTATCAATAAATTATTATTTCAAGTATTATTTTTGGGCGGGAAATTGGGGGTGTTACATAAAGCCTATAGAGTACTCAACAGAAGGACTCTACATGTTGAAGAGTCTATACATGTGAAGTTTGATGATAGCATCTCTGTTAAAGAAGTAACAGAGACCCTCAAAGAAGTCAGCATAGAGGACAGAACACCAGAACCAACAGAAGAGGTAGCAGATAACCCTGCATTTCCAACACCTACACCAAACCCCCTTCTGTTAAATGAAGATGAAGACTCAGAGAATGAAGAACCAGAGAGACCCAGACAGCAACTGACAGAACCTGATCTGACATGGTTAAGTGACCATCCCCCTAATCAAGTTATTGGGCATTTCAGAAGTGGTGTGCATACCAGATCAGCATCAACAAGGAGAGAAGCAATGCTTGCCTGCTATATATCTCAGATGGAACCCATGACTGTGGAAGAAGCTCTTGCAGACTCAGGTTGGATCAATGCAATGCAAGAAGAGCTGACTCAATTTGAAAGGAACAAAGTATGGGAACTTGTTCCTAGGCCAAAGCACCAGAATGTCATTGGAACAAAATGGGTGTTCAAGAACAAAGCTGATGAAGATGGCAACATTGTAAGGAATAAAGCAAGGCTGGTAGCTAAAGGTTATTGCCGAGAAGAAGGAATAGATTTTGATGAGACTTTTGCACCAGTTGCCAGACTGGAAGCCATCAGAATATTTCTAGCCTATGCTGCCTACAACAACATCAAGGTCTACCAGATGGATGTCAAAAGTGCATTTCTGAATGGAGATCTTGAAGAAGAAATTTATGTGGAACAACCACCAGGTTTTGCCATTCCTACTCACTCCTCCTGTGTCTACAAGCTTAAAAAGGCCCTCTATGGTCTTAAGCAAGCTCCCAGAGCTTGGTATGACACATTTTCCGTATTCCTAGTGAACCATGGGTTTACTAAGGGAAAGGTTGACAAAACTTTATTTCAAATCTCTGTTGCTAATCATATTTGGTAGTACAAATATATGTTGATGATATTATATTTGGTAGTACTAATCCAGAATTATGCAAGAAGTTCTCTCAAGTGATGCAGAGTCAATTTGAAATGAGTATGATGGGAGAACTCAGCTACTTCCTAGGACTACAAGTCAAACAAGTCCATGAAGGAATCTTTATCAATCAAGGGAAGTATACCAGAGACCTGATCAAGAAGTTTGGAGTGGAAGGCAATCCTCAGTGAAGATTCCCATGAACACCTCACAAGGAATTGGTCCGGATGATGAAGGAAAAGATGTCGATGCAACTACTGTTGGAGATATTTAATTGTGAATCAAGTCTGTCATAGATTAGCTTTATATTTAATCCTTGTATTTAATTAGTGCATAAATTAGATAGCAATCGGGCCAAGTGTTAGGCCCATATAAACAGGCTAAAAAGCCTTGTACGCCTAACCTAAACCTCACCTATAAAAAGGGAGCCCAGGGTTTAGGATTAGGTTAACGTCGTACTTATTCTTCATAGCCTTACGCGCATACTATTGTGTTGTACGAGTTCACGGTCTATCAAAGAGGGTTTTATGTTGATTCATTCTGTGTTCATCCTTACGTTTAATCTTCGTTGTTAGATCGTTATTCATTGCTGTTACAGAAACAGGGACTAACAATTGGTATCAGAGCCGATCGAGAACCGATCAGAAGAACGCCTGCAGAATACTCTGTTTTTCTATACGTTGTTCTTACTGTCGATATTTCACTCTGTAATCTTGTTTCTTGTTCAAAAGTTGTAAAAGTTACACCCTTAGAATCGTCTTTGCAAAGCGATCAAGGGGTATACTTCAGATTTTGTTTTTCGCATATTCTGTTTTCGAGATATCTCGAGTAGGGGTTGTCGACATCTTGCTTTTTCACAGGTTCTGCTACGTTTTTCGAGCTGAAAACTTTACCCGAGGATCTTGACATTCAACACTACAGGAAACTACCTTCAGATTTTGCTTAACTGATTTTTACAGTTTGCAGGATTTCGACATTGAGGATTTCGACATCTAGGATTTCGAGATCAAGAATTCGAAAATAGGGTCTCGACATCTGGTCTCGACATTTTACATCTCGAAATTAGATTTCGAGTTTTAATCTCTCGACATTTCAAATGTCGAGATCAGCTTCTCGAAATTTGAAATCTCGAGATCCTTAATCTCGAGATCTTTAATCTCGAGCTCAAAATCTCGATACCGGGCCTCCTTTATCGAAATCTGAAATTTCGATATTCAGATCTCAACATCTGATTTTTCGACTTTCTGCCTCTGAAAATCTTTTGATCAATTTTCTCGAACGGTCAGTTTAGTACAGCAATGGCCTCAGAATTCAATGCGCAAGGGAACAGCAGTACCCCTCCTAGTCTCAGGAAGGGAGAATACCAAATGTGGAGGAACAGATTCCTTAATTTCCTTGAGCACAAAGAGAACTCCGCTGCGATGCTTGAATCTTTGCTTGAAGGACCAGCTGAACTCTTGATTTCAGTTGGTGGTGATCCAGAAAATAATCCTCCTATTTTTCCAGAAATAAGGAGGAAAGTGCCATCTGAATACACAGAAGCTGACAGGCTCAGGCTTCGTGGTAATCTCATGGCCAAAACATACCTTCTTCAAGCAATCCCCAATGAAGTATATGTTCTCATAGACAGCATGCAAACAGCTAAGGAAATGTGGGATGAGATAGAGAAGCTGCTCCAAGGCAGAAGCATCAGCCTTAAAACCAAGAAGACTACGATTCTTATTGCTTATGACTCCTTCCAAGCAGGTCCAGGAGAACCATTGAATGAGACTTACAACAGTCTCGTTCAACTGGTAAATCAACTCAGAAAAATCAAAGTATTCAGGTCCAATCTGGAACTGAATATTAGATTTTTATCCAGCCTGCATCCTGCATGGGAAAAGACAGTGAAGGATGTCAGATCTCGGATAGATTTGGATGAAATTGACCTCTGCACACTCTATGAACATCTTAAGCAATTTGTCAACGAGGTTGCCTGTGCTGAGGATCATCACACCACAAACCCCTTAGCTCTTGTAATGGAGGCTCAGCCAAGAAGGACAACCACTTCACTAAAGAAGAAAAAGAAGAAGGTAGTGGTTGAATCAGATGATGATGACAGTGATGATGACAAATCTGATCTAGAGGCTGAGCTAGCAGACTTACAGAAGAAGATGGCACTGCTTGCCAAAAGATTTGCTAAGAAGAACAGCTCTTCCAACAAGCTGAGAACTTCCTCCTCAAGCTACAAGCAGAAGAACCATGATCAAGGATCTTCCAGAAAGGCGCCATCAGCTGAAGACGCCCCCAAATGCTACAACTGTGGTAAGGCTGGACATGTCATCAAAGACTGCCGCCTCCCAAAGAAGAAAGATGCTAATTTCTATAAGCAGAAGATGTTGTGGAATAAACAGAAAATGCTGATGGTGCAGAAAGAAGAAGAAACTTCTGCTATGATTGCTGAGAAAGAGAACTGGGCAGAAAATTCTTCTGAGGAGGAGGAGGAGGAAGACAACTATGCCCTTATGGCACGAGTGGAGAAGATGAAAGAAAGAGCGATGCTGCGATCCCCGAAAGCGAGTGCTCAACAAGCTCTGTAAGTACCTCACATACTCCTTTAAATAATCAAATGCAGTCCTTACTTGAGAAGGACAATCTAATCAAAGAACTAAAGGAGAGACTAGACAATAATTACAGGGTACTGAAACAGAATCTAGACCAAAAGTCTTCCTTAAGTATTCAACTTGAAATTGCAAAAGATCAGGTCAAAAAGGTGTCCTCAGATTTTGAAAGCTTTGAACTTAAGATAGCTGAATTAACTAGGAAATTTGAGGATAGCGAACGAGAAAAAAGCACACCAAAGGCTGAATGCGATTTTTTGCATAACAAGAGAAGAACACTTTTAAATAAGGTAAAAGAACTAGAGGATCTAGCTGCTAAGAGAGGTCAATCAGAACAAACTGTTTTTCTGCTTAACAGCAAACAAAAAGATGACCGATTTTACAATGCTAAAACAGGACTGGGCATAACCAACCCACGTAATCTAAAGAAAGTTAACTGTATTCAATTCTATGACAAAGATTACATGGGACTAGGGTTAGTCGAGAAAATGCATTTTCGAAGTGATGAAGAAAATGCTGAAGCAGAAGAAGAAAAGAGAAAGAATCCAAAGTCTACGATTTCTTGTGACTATTCCTCTGTTAATGAAAAACAACTTTCACAAGAAAAACCTACTTCCTGCTTTAGTGAATGCCTTGACCCTTATGCTAAAGATATGCCTCATATAGGACATCCTCTAGACCCTCCCCCAAGAGTAGGTATTGCTAAAACTGGTGAGGAACCCTGTATATTTCCCATGGCTCAAAAGCTCAAAAACCTACAGGAAACTCTTGATAACGAGAGAGAGAGATTTGAAACTGAAATGAAAGGTTTTGAGCGCAACTGGTAGGAACTTCTTCAAAAGTTCAATGATTTGAGTGAGCAGTATCATGCTAAAACAGACCCTTCTACGACTAAGCCTGACAGCTCACACACCTCACATGAGAAAAACAATGCTTTAAAAGTTTCGTCCGCTCATCTCTCTTCTCCTTTGTTTACAGGAAATGAAGTGAAGGAAGGAGAAGAGAAGAATGAGTGGAGGAAAAAGAGGAAGGAAATTGCAGATGGCAAAAAGAAAGTTTTTGAGAATAATGCCAGTCCTAGATCTAGTTCTAATTTTTACTCTAAAGTTAATTGTAATTCTGTCTCTACAAAACAAACTTCTAGTAGTTCAGTCTTGAGTCCCAAGCTGAATATTTCTGAGACATCTTCTAGACAACGTTCTATTTATAATACAAGTGTTGCTTATGGTTATTCTGTTCCAGATCCCCATAATTATGAATGTGATGTGAATGTTGTTAAATCAAAGACTCTCAGAAAGCTCAAACCTGAAAAGGAAACCAAGAAAGAAACTTCTAAGGGAACATTTTGTATTCCTGATATGAAATATGCTCTTAGAGTTCATTCAAGGAAACATCTTAATCGGCTTTATAAAGAGGAGATTTTCAAAATTAAACTTAAGAAACAACCGTTCAATCACAAAGCACCTGTCTACTCTCCTCCTAAACCTAAAACGGAAAGGTGGGTCCCCAAGATAAGACCCACCAAAACTGAAACTAAAAGGTGGGTCCCCAAGATGAGACCTATCAAACCTGAAACAGATAGGTGGGTCCCCAAACGAAGACCCATCCAAACTGAAACTGAAAGATGGGTTCTCAATCGAAGACCCATCAAAACTGAAACTGAAAGGTGGGTTCCCAAATTCAGACCCACCAGAACTAAAATGGAAAGGTGGGTTCACAACATCAGACCCACCAAAATGGAAACTGCGAAGTGGACTTCAAAAACCAGACGCACTGCAAAAGCAGATCTGGCTATTGGAAAGCCCACAAAAGATAGATCTTTTGTTGAAAGAGCTGTTGACCTTGGATCACAGCTCAAAGCAAGATTTAAAAAGGTGTTTCTTGATAATAAGGAAGGACCCACTCCAAGTTGGGTACCTAAACCTGTTTGATTGTTTTGCAGGACGGTCATGTGTGGCACTTAGACTCAGGATGCTCAACCCACATGACCGGAATAAAGCACCTTTTGAGCAACTACACCAACTGCTACAGAGGAAATGTCAGATTCGGGAATGACGCCTCATCTCCTATTCTCGGGTATGGGGACGTCGTCTGTGCCAGTGTCACTATAAAAGATGTTTCTTTTGTCAAAGGGCTCAAACACAACTTACTGAGCATTGGACAATTCTGTGACAGCGGGATGGAAGTGAGGTTCTTTGCAAAACAATGCTGTGTTCTTGACAGCACAGGAGATACATTATTAACGTGTTACAGAACATCAAATCTGTACACTATTGATCTGAAAAGCGTCAAATCCACCACTTCCATCTGTCTGCTGTCCAAAGCTTCAACTAAACAGAACAACCTATGGCACAGACGTCTCTCCCATCTGAACTTCAAACATCTATCAACCTTGTCCTCCAAGAAACTTGTAAAGGGACTTCCTCTGCTAAAGTCTTCCGCTGAAAATCATTGTAGTGCCTGCAAAATGGGCAAAATGACGCGAAGCTCCAAAAAGTCAAAAACCGAACCATCATCTACACATCAGTTGCAGCTAATTCACATGGATCTGTGTGGACCTATGAGAGTCCAAAGCATCAACGGTCGCAAATACACTCTGGTGATCGTTGATGATTTCTCTAGATACACATGGACAAAATTTCTCCGTTCAAAAGACGAGGCTGCAGAAAACATTATGACCTTTATCAGAACCATCCAGAAACTGCTACAACACAGTGTTCGAATCGTTAGAATTGACAATGGTACCGAGTTCAAAAATCAAACTCTAACTGAGTTCTATGAATCACTCGGTATCACTCAGCAATTTGCAGCAGCTAAAACTCCCCAACAGAACGGAGTTGTTGAGAGAAAGAACAGAACCCTTGTTGAAGCAGCACGCACCATGTTAATCCAATCCAGACTGCCTCACTTCATGTGGGCAGAGGCAATCAATACTGCGTGTTTCACTCAGAATAGAACATCCATCCATAAACGCTTTGACAAGACTCCATATGAAATCCTATTCAACAAAACTCCAGACATCTCTTTCTTCAAGGTTTTTGGCTGCAAGTGCTTCATACTCAATGATCGGACAGAGAGAAGGAAGCTGGATCCCAAAGCCAGAGAAGGCGTGTTTATTGGCTACTCACTGCAATCCAAAGCTTACAGAGTCTATCTCAGAGACAAGCGCACTGTCATCGAGAGTGTAAATGTTACATTCTATGAAATGGCAGACTTAGCGATCGAACATCTCCAGACTGATCCATCAACTGCTGTACCAGTAGCTTCTGATAAAGCTGAACCAAACACCGAACACGACGATGTGATTCTCGACTCTCTTTTCAAAAACTTCTACGAGAACTCACAACCTCCACCTCCTGCATGCACTCCAGAGTCAACATCAACTCCAACAACAGAGATTCCGCTCCTCACAGGACCAGACGATGTACCATCCACACCCTCAACCCCTCAAACCAATCCCAGAGGTGTGGATGATCACGGCTTTGCTATAAGTCCGGAATCATCTCCATTACACACCACAGCTGATCCAGAGCCTTCAACCACATATCAGGACTCCGATCAACCAATAATTACTCCAACTCCTCTAGCTCATGAGAGGAAGTGGACGAGAGCACATCCCGTTGAACAAATAATAGGTGATCCAAGTCAAGGTGTGCGAACAAGATCCGCAACGATGAATGAATGCCACTTCGCATGCTTCCTAAGCCAGTCAGAACCATCAAAAGTCTCTGATGCGCTACTTGATCCAGATTGGGTGATTGCGATGCAAGATGAACTCAATCAGTTTGACAGACTGGATGTATGGTCACTGGTACCCGGGCCTCAGAGAAAGACAATCATTGGTACGAAGTGGGTATTCAAAAATAAAAGGGATGAAGAAGGCACAGTCGTAAGGAACAAGGCAAGGCTGGTCGCAAAGGGATATTATCAACAGGAAGGCATAGACTACGATGAAACGTTTGCATCCGTAGCTAGAATTGAAGCAATCCGCCTCTTTCTTGCATACGCGGTGCACAAAAACTTCACCGTCTTTCAGATGGACGTAAAAACAGCTTTTCTAAATGGGACTTTAGAAGAAGAAGTCTATGTCGCTCAACCCGAAGGATTTGTAGATCCAAAATTCCCAGACCATGTATATAAACTCAAGAAAGCTCTATATGGGTTGAAACAGGCACCCAGAGCTTGGTACGATGCCTTGACTAAATTTTTGATCGATTCAGGTTTCTCAAAAGGAAAGATTGATACTACTCTGTTTATCAAGCGACAGAAGTCTGACATCATTCTGATTCAGATCTATGTTGATGACATCATCTTTGCCTCTTCAAATCCGCATCTGTGCCAACACTTTGAGAAACTGATGAAAACCAAGTTCGAGATGAGCATGATGGGCGAACTTAACTTCTTCTTAAGCCTGCAAGTAAGACAACTCTCTGATGGCATTTTCATCAATCAGTCCAAATACATTCTGGATATGCTAAAGAGATTCAACATTGAAGGCAAATCTTCCATGACGACCCCCATGTCCCCAAACAACAAACTGGACTCAGACCCCTCCGGGAAGCCAGTTGATGCTACAAATTACAGGGCCATCATTGGATCTTTGCTATATCTCACGTCAAGCAGGCCTGACATTGTCTTCTCCACATGCTTATGTGCTCGCTTTCAAGCAAATCCGAAGGAATCCCATCTGACAGCTGTATGACGAATTTTAAGATACCTCAAAGGCACGGTGAATCTAGGCCTTTGGTATCCCAAGCATTCAGGCTTCGATCTAGTCGGATACTCGGATGCTGACTTTGCTGGTTGCCGGATGGACCGCAAAAGTACATCGGGAGCCGTCCAATTCTTGGGCGAGAAGCTAGTTTGCTGGTCCTCCAAAAAGCAAAACTGTGTGTCAACATCTACAACTGAGGCCGAATACGTCGCGGCTGCTAGTTGTTGTTCACAAATATTATGGATGAAGACCTAGCTACAGGACTACGGCTACACATTCCGCCACATCCCGATCTACAGTGACTCTCAAAGCGCCATCGCCATCACAAGCAATCTGGTTCACCACTCCCGCACCAAACACATTGATCTGCGCTATCATTTTATCAAGGATCACGTGGAGAAAGTTTCTCGCAAAAACGATTCGATTTTTTCAAAACAATAAGAACAAAATTTTCAGATTATTTGAAGTTCGAAATCTTTTGTATGTTGTATTTCGTATCTTTATCTTTGCAGGTGAATTCATCTCTTTGAAATCGTCGATTCATCTTCTCGAAATCAAGATCTCGAGATGGGCATCTCGACATCTTGATCTCGAGATTTGAATCTCGAAATCAAGATCTCGAGATCTGCATCTCGACATCTTGATCTCGAGATTTGAATCTCGAAATCAAGATCTCGAGATCTGCATCTCGACATCTTGATCTCGAGATCTGCATCTCGACATCTTGATCTCGAGATTTGAATCTTGACATCAAGATCTCGAGATCTGCATCTCGACATCTTGATCTCGAGATTTGAATCTCGAAATCAAGATCTCGAGATTTGGATCTCGAAATCATGATCTCGAGATTTGGACTTAGCAAATTTTATATTTCAAAACTCCACCTGCATAAACTTATCTGACAACTGCAAATCAAACAGTTGAACTTCATGTGCTGACCCCCTGCTTCTACAGTTTAAAATGGCAGGAAACACTAAAACACAAATCGATGATGCCATCTACCCCCAAGGAAAATGGATCAAGGTGTTGGACAACAATTTCCAGCTAGACCTCACCGTCTTCAAGTGACAGAACCCGATCATTCCGGCCATAATGAAAGGTCACTATCTCTGGCCTGCACTTCACAACGCCAAACCAGTGCCAGAGATATACCTACAACAATTTTGGGGCCACATGCATACTGAATCAGCGAAGGATCGCTCCAAAATCAAGACTAAACTGAATGGCATGCGCGTAATCCTGACGCCATCAACACTGCGATCTACACTAGCGCTGCCAGTTCACGACACGTATGATGCACTGCCATCCATCCCTGATCTGCTCAAAGACGTGGCATCTCTCGGCTACACCTCACTACTGCCACAACTGTCAAACTTCAACGGAGCCTATCTCCATCACCCGTGGAAGAGTCTATTCGGACTGGTGAATAAATGCTTGTCGCCAAAGCATGCCGGGTTTGACAAATGCAACAAGCAGATCCTGCTAATCTTTCACGGCATTGCATTCAACAAAAACTACGACATGGCACAGCTCTTCTTCTCAGAGCTCATGGACCTGGTCAAAGCAAAGGAGAAAAATAGGCCAGGTACCATTCCGTACGCAAGATGGCTCGGGCTAATCATACACGACTGCATGGCAGAGCACGCTTCCATACCAAAACGCAGTTCGGATCCTCATGAGGGGGAGAACAAGCGACCTCGATCACTTGAGCAAACTGCCCTACCAAGCCAAACTCCACAGCCCATCCAACCCGAAACCTCGACAAACCAACAGCCACCACCCACAGCCAACTTATCTAGCATGGTCGAGCTAGAAATAACATCCCGAGGCGTATCTCCCAGAGATACCAACCGAGGAGGGGATGGAAGTCCTGATGATGTTACCACTGGTACATCTTCTGCATCAGGCCATCAGTTGGAACCTAGTTCTAAGCTGATGTCAACGGGCAATCCAAGAGAACCCGGTAGTGTTACTCAGGAACACTCACCGCCTCAAAAACAACAAAGAGTTCCATATATTTCCCCAGGCAAAGACATCCATGATGCACTGGAGGAGGCGGTGATATATGACAAATGGCCGAGATAATGGACAGAATGGGATGATCTTCGGAATGAGGCTGAACAAGAAGACATGCAAAGAAATTGGTGGCTACGAGAGCTAATTAACAAATGCTCTGAAGATATCATAAGACTCGAGGACGATGAACGCAAGGAAGGGGAGAACTACAAGGAATCCCAGAAAACTCTTGAATCTGTAGTAAGACAATCAGTGGGAAGACTTCCCAAGACAGAGAAACCCTGGGATAACGTTCGCATCAAAGCCCCCTTCCAAGAGGAAATCAGAGAGCATATCTGGCGTAGACCAGACAGAGTCAAACCGCTAAATGAACTGAAGCTAAGAGGTCTTACTCATTTAAAAGGAAAGCAGGCTGGAGGTCATCTGCATATGCTGCTACAAAGGTCAACCGGTACTCAGAGAGAACTGATGGAACAAGATCTGAAGTCAAATATTCTCCCGATTCATCAAATTCTACAAGTGAAGGCTGAAGATTATCATGGAGTAACATTCTACACTTACATACTTCAACGCACTGACGGGAGCGAATTTACTTGCCAAGAGAACGATTTCATCATGCTGAAACCGGACGACATCTATCAAATGTTCATGGCCTATAGATACCTTCTAGTCAGGCAGAGCATAACATACAGCGAAGGTCTCGCAGCTATCAAGAGATTCATGCTTAGACAAATCCGAGTACACTCTTCACATGACCTACAGATGGCTATTGAGTGCAATCTGAAAAAGACAAATCTGACAAAGCCAAGATTGTATGGTCCAGAACTTGAAGACTTCCCAGCCTACCACATCTTCTTCACACCGCCAGCAGTCACCTATCTGAATCACAAGAACGAAAAACGTCTGATGGTAGTTAGTGAAATTGAAAAGTACTGTGACGGAACGCTGAAGATAATAAAAGAACAGCTTCTAAAGATGAAGGCAGAGCTGGAAGAAAATCTTCAAGAGGCATCGTCTTATGTTCAAAAGGAACACTCTACAGTAGAGACAATCTTAAAGGCCATTGACGATCGCCTTGAAAAGAGAAATACGCTGAGGCAATATGAACATGCACTTGGTATGAGGAAGCACTACTTCAAGTCGCAGAAGCAATAAGAGAATGGCACTTGATCACAAAGGGGGAGATTGTTGGAGATATTTAATTGTGAATCAAGTTTGTCATAGATTAGCTTTATATTTAATCCTTGTATTTAATTAGTGCATAAATTAGATAGCAATCGGGCCAAGTGTTAGGCCCATATAAACAGGCTAAAAAGCCTTGTACGCCTAACCTAAACCTCGCCTATAAAAAGGGAGCCGGGGGTTTAGGATTAGGTTAACGTCGTACTTATTCTACATAGCCTTACGCGCATACTTTTGTGTTGTACGAGTTCACGGTCTATCAAAGAGGGTTTTACGTTGATTCATTCTGTGTTCATCCTTACGTTTAATCTTCGTTGTTAGATCGTTATTCATTGCTGTTACAGAAACAGGGACTAACAACTACCTACAGAGGAATCATAGGATCTTTGTTGTATCTGACTGCAAGCAGACCAGACATTTCATTCTCTGTTGGAATTTGTGCCAGATACCAGTCAAAGCCCAAGGAGAGCCATCTTAGTGCTGCAAAGAGAATCATCAGATATATCAAAGGAAATCCAAATGCAGGCCTATGGTATCCAAAGGGAGGTAACTTTGAACTAATTGGTTACTCTGACTCAGATTTTGCAGGTTGCAGATTAGACAGGAAAAGCACCTCTGGTCATTGCCAAATGCTAGGAGGAAGGCTTGTTTCCTGGTTTAGCAAGAAGCAAAATTCAATCTCAACAAGTACAGTAGAAGCTGAATACATTGCAGCTGGGAGTTGTTGTGCTCAGCTACTCTGGATGAAGCAACAGTTGAAGGACTATGGCATTCAAGCAAAGGAGATCAAATTGTTGTGTGACAACACCAGTGCCATTGCCATCACTCAGAATCCAGTTCTTCACTCCAGGACAAAGCACATTGAGATCAGACATCACTTTATCAGAGATCATGTTGAAAAAAAGCACATATGCATGGAGCATGTGCCAACAGAAGACCAGCTTGCAGACATTCTGACAAAGCCTCTTCCAGAGGCTAGATTCAACAAACTGAGAGAGGAATTGGGAATGATGGATGAAATCCCAAGAGAATGTTGAGAAGGAAGGCCCTCTGTTACAAAATCTCTGCTAACAGAATACCTGTTGCAGAACCCCTTCTGTTAACCCCTTTTTATTCTCAATCCTGAACAGAGCACCCCCTTTTCTAACAGAACACCTCTGCAACAGAAAACCCCCCTTTCTTATCTTCAGAAAACCTCTTCTTATATCTAACAGAAAAGGTTGTGGACTTAGCAAAATTCTGAAAAACCGGGTGACCTAGTAAATTATTAAAGGTCTTTTACCCTTTTACCCTTAAAACGGTATACAGCCGCAAAATATTTACTGCGCCCCCTTTTTCATTTATTGGTACCTTGGAACCGCAAATTATCTCAAACGTCCACTAACCCGTACCCATATATTCCCCTCATTTCAACCTAAACCGTTACTGCTCCCATTACTCTCAAGCTTTCGCACTCTTATTTCTCCAAAACTCTCAACCGCTAAATTCAACTATGGCTTTCTTGAACTTCACTGATCTTTCCAAGGAACAAAAAGCAACCCTGCTCAAGAATGTGTTGACAGGGATGAAGTGTGAACTGAATGTTCTACCCAGATTTGCTGAGAAAAGAGAGAGGATGACCAATATCATTGACGGGCTGACAGAGTGTCAACTAAGCAAGGTAATCACCTATGCTTATGAAGTCTACAGCAACATTGACACTGTTGAGTTCTATCTCAACGCGTCCTTCGAGGATGAAACCATCACTTCCAGTGTCCAAGGAGAAGAAATACTGGTTGATGTTGACGTCATCAATAAAGTATTTGACATTCAACTAGAGGAAGGCAGGGCCTCTCTATTTGATTTGGAGGAAGCTGATATCTCTGTTCTTGAATTCAAAAAGAACTATTGCAGGAAAGGGGAAGAGGTGGAAAAGGTAAACATAAAGAAAAATCTGCTCAAGAAGGACTTTGAGCTGCTCATCAACATTTTCCACAAATGTGTATGGTGCAAGTTTACCTCTACTGATGATGTTACTACTGCAAATGCCAAGGCCCTATATGCAGTACATCATGGGGTAAATGTCAACTGGGGTCAGGTAATGGTTCGGTCTCTGATTGAGTTCATCAAGAAGAAGAACCCCAAGACAGGCCTTTACTCTGGAAAGTTAGGGCATGGGCTGCTCATCTCAGAACTGCTTCTCAATCATGGTGTAACCTTGAGGAAGGCAACACCTCTGGATCACACAAAGGTAATCTTCCTATCTGCCTCTCCAAACAGGGAAATAGCTATTAAGGCAGAGCTGAAGAGACAGCTTCAGCTTGACAATAAAAGACAACAAGGAGACAAGGTGCAGAAACCCCTCTCTGAAGCACCTTCTGTGGAGAAGAAGAAGAAGAAGAAGAAGGTGAAGAAAACAGAACTGGTTGCTCCTCCTTCACCCATGAAGGCTGGACAGAAAAGGAAGAGGACCATCAAGACCAAAAAGAAGGTTGCTAAACCTTTGATCACCATGTCTGAGAAGGTGGCAGACATTCAGGGGGAACCAGAGAACCCCACCTCTGTTGCCACTCCAGAACAGAATAGGGTGCCAACTCCAACATAGCACCCCAGCACAGGCAAACAAGGGTATCTTTCTTTGCTAGATAGACAGTTTGCCCGTGTTCTAGAATGGAGAAGATGGAGGATGGGACCCCTTCACAAGATCCTCCAGTTCTTTGATCATTATGAGCCTGAAGAAGAGGACATACTGAAGTGGGTAGGCACTGATGATGTCTTCAAGTGCTTTGCCCTCAACTTCCTCCATTCTGTCCTTGAGAAGAAGAAGGCAGGTTACAAGGGAAAAGCTGTTCTCATATCCTCACCTTCGGAGGAGACAGTCAAACCCCTGCAAGAAGGAGAGATAGAAGCATTTGAGGAATGGCTCTTTGCCAAGAAGGCAACAGAGTCTGTACAACCCAACTTTGACCCAGGAGAACCTTCTGTACCTAAGACAGAAGGGCAAGCTATGATGGAGCTCATCAGGGAATGGAGGACTTCTTTGTTTGAAGAAAATATAATTGAGGTAATCTCTCCAACTCCTTCTGTTCATATCTTAACAGAACCCCAAGTCCCTTCCCTTCTTATTACAATAGAAACCCCTCCAACAGAAAACCCTCAACCCAAATCCCCAGAACAGAAACCCCCCACCTCTCCTCACTCCTCAAATAAGAAAACCAAATCACCTTGCAAAGAAATTATCCCTATCAGAAACCGCTCCCCTTCACCCCCACCATCTCCTCCTCAACAGAATGCCTCCCCTCAACAAAACATTCCTTCTCCCCAACCTTCACTCCAACACCAGAATTCCTTCCCTCAATAGAAATCCACCTCTACTCAAAATAACCCCTCACCCTCTCCTGCAGCAAATTCACCCAGAACCTCTCTACACTCTGCTGCATCTACTCCCAAGAGACAGCCTCTTCACCGCATTCTATCATCTGAAAGTGATAATAATGGCTTCTTGTCATCTTCTCTTGCTGGAGACCTTACATCTAAACGCCAACCTACTCCTCCCAGAGAGCCCTCTCCCCAGAAACCCTCTCTGCAACAGACCAGAAGGCCTCCCATGCACAGGTCCAGAGGACTAGGAATGCCAGAGCCTGAAGACTCTATACCTCAAATTCCCTTCAACAAGTTTGTTGAAACAGCAGAAGAATTTGGTGGTCAAGTCCTGGAAGGCATGGACAAACTGATCCAGATAAATGATAAGCACTTTGAGTACCTTGCTCATGTGAATGATAATCTCAATTCTGGGATGCAGTTTATCTCAGACCGCTTTGAAAACCTCACAGAATCACTCCACAACTTCATGGCCTCCTCCTATGCCAGAACAGATGCACTGTCAACAGAAGTGGTAGGTATTCACAAGACCCTTTCTGTTTTTCAGCAAACTCTACTCAATCAAGGATAGGCCATCAGCACAATCTCAGAGAATCTTGAGGCACTGCAAAGATCTGACACCAGAACTAAGAAGCAACTGATTTCCATAGAGGAAATGTGCAGAGCCCATCAAGATCAAGCTCAACATCTTCTCTCTGCTGACAGAGACAGATACCAGAAGATGGTCCTGCTAGAAGCCAACAACAAGGACATCTTCTCTGCTATTCAGAAGCAACAAGGACTGATAGAAGGCCTCACTTCTGTCACTCAGACCTTACCAGAGGCCCTTGAGCAGATAGCCTCCTCCCAGGCCTCAGAGTTCCAGAAGATTAGCCTTATGCTAGAGGACCTTAATGATGCCAAAAAGGGGGGAGAGGACCCTCAACAGACTAAGCCTCGGTCCACCAGAACTCCTGCTAGAGCATCCTCTTCTGCTGAACCAATAGTAGATCATGCACCATACTTTGAAGCTGCTTTACAGAAAAAGAGAGTAGCAGGTATACCTAGACCCCCATCTCCAGCAAAGAAAGGCACCAAGAAGAAGAAAATCCTCAGTTTTACTGAGTGGAGATTGGGTGGATCCCAGAAAATTGATAGAGTTCAAATTGTAGAAATGAAGATGAAAATGACTCTCACCCAACAATAGAACCTCTTTCTAGATAAGGATGGTGTTGTATGAGTCAGATATGGGGGATCCCTGGAAGAAGCTGAAGATTGGTACAATAAGAATATTGTCCCTGGCAAGACAATACATGAAGGAGTTCTCAGCTATCTGGATTGCAAGCTATCTCCCATATGGGCATCCTATCAAAGCTCTGGTAACTTATCTCAGATCAGAGCAGAAATCAATGAAGAGCTGCTAAGGCTTCAAAGATTGGAGGAAGAAGCTCTGCAAGCAGCTACTATGGAGAATGTGTAAGAAATATCTCTGTAAACTGTACCTAATAAAATCACATCTCTGCCTTTCACTTTGTAAGGATTTTTCTCAATTTCTGTCTCTTTGCTTTCTGCCTGTGTTTGTTTGCTATTTGAATTTTTATCTGCTATCTGAATGTAGTGTACTCTTACTATTTTCCTGTGCCAAGTTGCCCACCAAGATTTTAATGAAAGTTTTTAAACATTATTCCTTTATGGTGAAGGCACTTCTCTGGAAATAGTTAAAGGGTTTTGGCATCATCAAAAAGGGGGAAATTGTAAGGAATATTTGTAATTAGATTTTGATGATGCTAGATTAATTAGGACTTTAGAGTACCCCTCTTTAGACTTAATGTATTAGAATTTTCCTTTGTAAAAGTTCTTAGTATAATCGACTACCAGAAGGCCTCCAGAGCAGAAGACCTCCTGACAGAAGTTCTTTGGTTCTCTGCCGTAGAACAGAACACCTCAGGGTCTCTGTTAGCCTTTACTCTGACAGAAACCCTCCTGGTTCTCTGTTGGATATCTTCTCAACATAAGTGCTCAAGACCTTCTCTGATCAACTCTCTGTTAAAGACACCAGAAGGCCTGACACTTAGAAGAATTCCACCAAGCCGGGAAACCAACTGAAAGATTCCTTCAACGGCTAGGAGTCTTGAACGGAAAAGCTACAGTGCGCGCATTAAATGCACATTTAATGCTCCCCATACTCCGTAGAGTAATTGCAGATGATTGGCCGCAATGTCAGGATTACTTTATCCCAAAATAGTAACCCGCCAACTTTACCGGGTCCTACTAGTCAAGTCAACTGCTCGCTCATTTAATGCAGTTGTCCTCCTTCTCCTCCAACGGGAAGACAACCTCAGTATAAAAGATACACTACGAAGAACAACCGGATAACTTTGCTAACTTTTGCTACAACTCTGCATACAAGATATTCAAAGGCCAAAAACGCAAAAAGCCTCCTTGAGATTAAAACTTCATCATCCTTTACAAGAGAAGGCAGAAGTTGGAAAAATCCTTATTTCCAAATCAAGCAAAGTTCCAAGTGTTCTTCAACTCTTCAAGCTCGTCACCTACAAATTCTTTGTAACGAAGCAAGTTGGAGAAACCTCTGTTCTAAATAGAACCTCTTCTTTCACAAGAAGGACGTCCAAGTACCTGGAGCAGTGAAGTGGTGATACTTCTGGAAAGCTCAGTGAAAGGACCAGTCTTAGGGAAGCCGGAAGTGCATCCAAGAAGACATCTACACTTGAAGAAGACGTGGAGAGCTTCTTAAGTGATTGGGCTAAGGCATTGTAAACGGAAGTTTTTACAAGCTTAGTGGAATAGTGGACTAGAGGAACAAGTTGTTCCTTGAACCACTATAAAAAGCCCTGGTGTCAGTTACTTACTGCTTTACTTTCATTGTTTTTATTTGAACTGTTTAACTCCAAAGACTTGGTATCTGTGTTCAGCAGAACTTGTCTTGTGAGTTAACAGAAGGCCTACTGCCTTTGCTTCTCTGAGGCTACTAACAGAACTCCCTACCAGAACCCCATCCGCTGTCAGTCTGTTCTGTCAACAGAACAGGCTATTCTGTTAAATCTTGTACTTAGCTTGAAAAAGTTAAAAAACCAATACAGTCTATTCACCCCCCCTCTAGACTGTATCCAGTACAATCGGGACCAACAGAGCTCATGGATCTCGTGAAGGTAAAGGAGAAAAATAGGGCGGGTACCATCCCCTATGTTAGGTGGCTCGGGCTCATTATTCATGAAACTCTGCAAAAGCACCAATCCATACCAGCCAACCAACCAACCTCCACAGCCCGATCAACCCAAATCTTCAACCAACCAACAACCACATGCTTCCAGTAAAAAATGAAACCTAGTCACCCTATCTAGCCTGGTCGAGCTAGACGAAACATCCCGAGGCGTATCTCCTAGAGATATTGTTCGAGGAGGGGATGGAAGTCCTATTGATGTTACCTCTGGTACATCCTCACAATCAGGCCATCAGTCAGAACATAGTTCAGAACTGATGACAATGGGAAATCCTTGTGATCCCGGTGTTCCAGAGTACAGGTCTCCGACACCACCAAGTCAACCAACTCCTACCACTCCTTCATCAGACACAATGCACGACGAACTTGAAAATATCATTGTACATGACAAGTGGCCTAAGAAATGGACGGAGTGGGATCAAATTCGCAGTGACGAAGAAACTGAGGACATGCAGCGGAGCTGGTACTTGCGAGAACTAATCGCCAAATGTGCAGTAGATATCATTCGGCTTGATGAAGAGGAACTCAAAGAAGGGGAAAATTATAAAGAAACTCCCAAGGAATTGGAATCAATAATCAGAAAAACGGTGGGACGACTTCCCAAGAATGAGAAACCTTGGGAGAACATTAGAATCAAAGCCCCCTTCCAAGAGGAACTCAGAAAGCGTGTCTGGCGTAAACCGGAGAAGGTCAGGCCTTTAAGAGAACTGAGGGTTCACAGACTTACACATTTGAAAGGAAAAGAAGCAGGAGGTCACCTACACATGCTACTTCATAGATCTTCAGGGTCTCAACGACAACTTTTGGAAAAAGATCTGAAGTCTAGTACACATCCTGTCCATGCAATACTACAAGTCAAAGCCGAAGATCATCATACAATCAGATTCTACTCCTACAAAGTCCAGCGCACTGACAGTAGTGAATTTGAATGCCAAGAAAATGACTTCATAATTCTCAAAATGGATGATATCTATGGGATGTTTATGGCGTACAGATACCTACCGGTCAGTAGCAATCAAACTTACAAAGAAGGCTTTGAGGCAATCAAGCGGTTCATGATGAGACAAGTCCGAGTCAACGCTTCCCATGACTTCCAAATGGCTCTAGAGAATAATATCCCAAAAGCTAATCTATCTCAGCCAAAACTGTATGGTCCGGAGCTTGAGGACTTCCCTGCATACCACATCTTCTTCACTCCACCCGCAGTAGTCTATCTGAACCACAAGGATGAAAAACGTCTGATGGTGGTTGAAGAGATCCACAAATTCTGTGATGGGACGTTGAAAATCATCAAGAGAAGCTAAGAAAAACAAAGGAAGAGCTTGACAAAAGACTTGAGGATGCATCTACATATACTCAAAAGGAGCATGAAGTGGTGACTTTGATTCTGAAAGCAATTGATGAATGCTTAGAAAAGAGAAACATCCTCAGACAATATCAGCATGCACTTAACCTCAGGAAAAACTACTTTAGAGCTCAGAAAGAAAACAAGACGGCACTTGAGCATAAAGGGGGATATTATTGAAGAATATTTATTGTGAATCAAGTTTGTCAAGAGTCTTGTATTAATATAGCCTTTATTACGCCTTAATGTATTCATTGTGTGTATTTATTAGAGTAGTAAAGGTAATGTGTATTCACAAGAATAAAAGAAACCTAGTGAGAGAAAGTCTGGCGATCCTTTTCAGTGCATGACGGCAAACCCATCTTCGGTGGCTCCGCCGCCGGGAGGCGGACGAGCATGGGAGGGGAAATCCTTTGCAGACGTGGTGGCTAATCGAAATGATTCTATTTCAAACAAAGCTCCAACAAGATACAAAGGTATGCCTGCGATCTCGTTTACAGAAAAGGAAATTCAAACGTTTGCTGACAAGCACAAACGAGCTCTTGTAGGTAATTTTTATAAAGGAAAACCTAGCCTGCTGATTTTACGTAAAGCATTTGAGATTATTGGATTTAAAGGGTCTTTTCATTTGGGAACCCTAGATCCAAAACATGTGCTGATACGTTTTGATTTAGAGGAAGACTTTGTTCGTTGTTGGAATCGTCAATCTTGGATGATCCAAGGAAATATTATGGGGGTTACTAAGTGGACACCTGCATTTCGCCCTAATGTTGAATCACATATTGTGCCGGTTTGGATTGCTATGGAAGGGTTAGCTATACACTTACAAGACAAACAAGCTCTTTTTGAGATTGCAAATCTTGTAGGCAGGCCATTAAAGTTAGATGCGGCTACTGCTTCGCTTGCTAAGCCAGCTGTTGCTAGAATTTGTGTGGAATTGGATCTCACTAAGGAGATGCCCAATAAGGTGTGGATTAACTGTGGTGCATATGGGTTTTCTCAACCCATTCTGTATGAGAACAGACCGGATTACTGTCAAGGCTGTCTTCATTTGTGTCATTCAGAATCCAAATGTCCCAAAAGACAGCTACATATAGAATTGACTGGAGAGAAGGGACAAAATAACAAATGGATGCCTACAACAGAAAAACAGCAGAAAAAATAGACAAGGCAGGAGAAAGGGAAAGGAAAAATCACAGAGCAAAATAAAATTCCAGAACAAGAACATGCTAGCAAGCCATCATCCTCCAAATCTGCTCATGTAGAAATCACTTCTGAATCAGAGGAAGAAGAGATCCGCCTGGATCCTGTTGATAAACCTTCAATAGACATAAAAAATACAGTGAAAGAACTGTTAAAAAAGGAAGTCCCAAGCATTACTATCACCAATAACAAAGAGATTACTGACAGTAAGGATGACACTTACATCAAGGAAGTTGAGCCTCTCTTTGATATTATTTATGAAGTTGAACCCAGGGAATGTTACTCAGAAGGGGAGGAGGACATTACTGTCAAACCAGACACATTCATGGAATCCTCAACAGAAATCTGCACAAAAATTGAAGGAATAGGTAAACAGAAGGAGCAGAAGAGAGCACAAATTAATGATACTGTTGAAGAAATACACAAACAAAGAGAGAAAGAACTGGATACAGGAGGGCAGAACACTGAAACTGAATCCGATGACTTGCAGTACAATGATCCATCTGCAAGGGAAGAAGAACAGAGTAAAGGAAACAACAGATTAAACAAAAAACAGGTCACACAAGATATTCAACCAAAGAGGAATACTAGAAGTGCAGCAAGGGGAGGAGGGGTCCCTCTTTCTAAATGAATTGCATTATTTGGAATGCTAGGGGTCTGGATGCCTCCAGTACCAGACTTAGTTCCCTAGCTATTCAATGGAGGGTGAAGCTTCTAATTGTCATTGAACCTATTGTTGATAGAAGTAGAATGGATCTCTTCAAAAATGTTTTGGGTTTCAGTGATGCTCTGTCTTCTTCTATAAATAAAATTTGGGTATTCTGGGATTCTTCAGTCTTGGGAATTTCTGATTTTACATGGCATGCCCAATCTGTCCATTTCAAGGTGGTTAGCAATGATTTTGAAGGCTGGGTTACTGGTGTTTATGGGAAACACAATTATCATACTAGAAGAGAGTTATGGGATAGTCTTGCTACTATTTCTCTATCTATGACCACGCCTTGGATGGTGGGAGGTGATTTTAATGAGATAGCAGCTTATAGTGAACATCAAGGGAGCTCTATGACTATTATCAGAGGTATTAATGAATTTTCTGATTGCATATCTGCCTGCAATTTGATTGATCTCCCTTATGAGGGGCCTAAATTTACTTGGTCTGGGGTTAGAGCTAATGGTAGGGTCTGGAGAAGACTAGACAGGGTCCTTTTTAACAATCATTTTATAAACAAATTTGATTCTATCAAGATTTCCCTGTTAAATAAGACTCCCTCAGACCATAATCCTATTCTTATTCAATTTTCCAACTTAAGCTTGTCTGGTCCTAGAAGCTTTAAATTTCAGAACATGTGGTTTCAAAATAGGGATTTTCTGGAGTTTATTAAAACTAAGTGGGATTCTGGGAAAACTGGTGGTGGAATGAAAGGGTTGATTACTAAGATTCAGGTCCTTAAAAAGGAACTCAGGATTTGGAACAAGGAAGTTTTTGGAAACATCTTTGATGATATAAAATTATGTGAGAAGGAAGTGCTGGAATCAGAAAGGAAGTTTGAGGAAAACCCTTGTGACATTAATAGAGAAGATTTATTCCACAAAAAGGGTCTGCTCACACAAAAATACAAGTTGGAGAAAAAATTTTGGAAGCAGAAAGCACACATTAATTGGCTTAAAGAAGGTGACAGGAATTCAAACTTCTTTCATTTATATGTCAAGATTAGACAAAGAAAACAGAGTATTACCTCTATCAAGCAATCTGCTGATAACATCCTCACTTCTCTTTCTGGTATTGGTAATGAGGTTGTCAGATTCTTTACTAACCTATACACTGAAAAGAATCCAGTCAGTTATGATGAAATGCTACAATACATACCACAGATTATTAACTAGGATGATACTAATAGACTTATGGTCTTGCCTACCCCTAATGAAGTTAAAGCAGCTGTTTGGGATCTCAACCAGAACAGTGCACCTGGGCCAGATGGTTTTCATGGTAAATTCTTTAAGAAATGTTGGTCCATTGTGGGAATGGATGTTATCAGAGCAGTGCAAGAGTTTTTTATGGGCATTCCAATTCCTAAAGGCATGTCTAGTGCGTTGATTGTTTTAATACCTCAAATAGATAACCCATCTTCTTTCAGTGACTTTAGGCCTATTTGCTTATCCAACTTTATTAGCAAAATATGCACTAAAGTGATGGTTAATGGATTAAGGGACATTATGCCTAAAATCATTTCTAAAGAGCAGGCTGGATTCATGGCTGGCAGAGATATTGCAGATCAAATCTTAATTGCTCAGGAGTTGATCCACAGTATAGACAAAAAGATAAGGGGGACCAATCTTGTGATAAAACTTGACATGGCAAAGGCTTTTGACAAGGTTTCTTGGCAGTTTATGAGTGCTATTTTACTGAAATTTGGATTTTGCAGTCCATTTGTTCATCTGGTTATGAATAACCTTAGGGCTACTTTTCTTTCTATTCTAATCAATGGTTCCCCTCAAGGGTTTTTCAAGCCTACCAGAGGAGTTAAACAAGGGGACCCCCTATCCCCTTTTCTTTTTATTATTGCAGCAGAAGCTTTTTCAAGGGGTCTTAATGGATTAATGGAAGCTGGAAAAATTAAACAGTTCTGGTTGGGTAATCATGGTTTCCCTATTTCTCACTTGGGCTTTGCAGATGACCTATTGATCTTTACTAATGGGGAGACTAGATATGTTTCCAATTTCAAAAAATTCTTGCTCAGCTATCAGTAGGCTAGTGGGCAGGAAGTTAATTTTAAAAAAAGTACCTTTGTTTGTGGCCACTCCCCCCAGCCAGACAGATGAAGATCAAGGATACACTTGGAATGAAATTATCTTCCTTACCTATTAAATACCTGGGAGTTAATCTCCATAAAGGCATTAACAGGTTTCAGTATTGTGGAAGCATTATCAACCAGTTTGAAAATAAGCTCACCCCTTGGAAGAAAAGAAATCTTTCTCAAGGGGGAAGACTTATTCTCATAAAACATGTTCTGAATTCTATTCCCCTACATACTTTGGCAGTGGATAATCTGCCTAAAAAAGTCATTTCAGTTCTTAACAGAAAAATGGCTTCATTTTTTTGGGGTTCTTCTAATAATAAGAACAAATATCACTAGATAAAGTGGTCCAAGCTGTGTTATCCAACTTGGGAAGGTGGTTTGGGCATTAGGGCCTTGGAGGATATTGAAAATGCTTTTTCTATTAAACTTTGGTGGAAGTGGCAAACTGAGGAATCCTTTTGGTCACAATTTATCAAAGCTAGATATAACAGAGGAGGGAACATGTTACCTAAAATCACTGATTCTGCAATCTGGGGAAGAATTTGCTCAATTCATGATAAGGCTTCTAGCCTCTGTACTTCTGATGGCTCTGGAAAATTACTATGGAATGAGGAGGATGATGGTCATTTTTCCTTCAAATCTGCATATGAAGAGGTTAGAGATCTCTCTTATAACCAAGAAATCTATCAGAACAATTGGGAATCTAAGCAGGAGCTCAAAATAAAACTTCTTTAGTGGAAAATTGTTAGGGGAATCATTCCTACATCTGACAAGCTTGGAAGATTTAACAGAGTTCTTAATCCTTCAATTTGTCCCCTGTGCAGAAATAATAGTGAGACCATGAATCATATTTTCTTTCAATGTCAGGTGGTTAAGGAGATTTGGGCTTACTTTTGGGGTATTCTGGGTTTTCATAACAACCCAACAGTAGAATTTTATCCTATGAGAATGAAATGGAAAGGAAATGGTACTTCAAGTCTGCTTAACGTATTTAAGAGGAATATTACAGGCATCATTTTGTGGTTCATTTGGAAAACCTACGCATCTCTAATTTGGGGATCTGGTAGAAATCAAATATCAGCTCAGCAAAGTATTACTCAAATCAAGATTTACACTCAGTCTTGGGCGACTACCTTATCTGGCCTCAAAATTAGATCTATTGAGACTACTCTATTTCAGGAACAGATGATTCCAAAATATTTCAAGATTAATCATACAAGGCCACGAATTGTTAAATGGCAAAAACCGAAGCAAAAATGGAAGCTTAATGTAGATGCTAGATACTTAGCTTCTTCGGCTTCAGGAGGTGCGATACTTCGAGACAAAACTGGGCAGATGGCTCAGGCAATCAGCTTCTCTCTGCAAGCTAGCTCGGTGTTGGAGGCAGAGTTGAAAGCAATTCATCAGGCTGTGAAGTGGGCGGCGGAAGAAGGATATGAGGATATATATGTCGAATCGGATTCTTCGTTGGCCATTGAATACATAGCAGGCAAATCTTCAAGAAGATGGAGCGACTTGCTTTTGGAAACCGCAGATATGGCTTTTAGGAAAGGGTTTTTGTTCGGACATACCCTGAGGGAAGGGAATTGGGTTGCCCACTATTTGGCTGAAACGGGCTCCTCTAACAAATATAGTAGCCCAAATCAGTTGCCCACTTGTGCTAAACAGGCTTATTGGATCGACTTATTTGGCATTCCCTCTATTCGTTTTTAATTATTATTGTTTTGTTTGTATTGAGAGGCTTTGGTTTGGCCCTCCTCTCATGTAATAATCTGATTCTAATAAAATCCTGGTAAATGACACCCGGCATTTACCCCACTAATTTTGGTGGTTTGCCTTCCGGGTTAAAAAAAAGGTAATGGGGCCTAAGTTGTCAGACCCATATACCTGGCGTAAAGCCTGTACGCAAACCTACATGTGCATATAAAAGGCGCTTAAGGATTAGGTTTGCGTTAACTTTTGCATTCGATCTTATCAGCCTCAGAGCTTATCATTTTTACTGTAGAAGTTCACGGTATATCAAAGACGAGTTTTTGGATCTCTAGAGCATTTATCTTTCTGTTATTCTCATCTTTGTGTATCGATATATTGCTTTAATCTATAAACAGCTGATCTTGAGGTGCTTGGGGCTGATTATAGTTCCTAGACTGGTGCTGTTGCTGATTTCCTTACCCGTAAGTCCCTTGTTCCTGTTGTTCGTAGGGCTGATTGTAGTAGCCCTGCCACTGAGAATAAATCACATTAACTTGCTCTACTCCAGGGGCTGCCGAGTGTGCCATCATAGTGCACTCATGCGTCCAATGGAGTCCCCCACATGTAGTACAAGAAGGACTAATAGGACCGGGGGCTACCATATTAACACTGGGCACCGCGAGAGCAAGATCCACCTTTTTCCCTATAGCATCCACGCTGGCTGTGAGCTTCTGCACCATGCTTGCCAATGTATCTACTCGTGCAGAGAGAGCAGAATTATCACTGATCTCGTATAGGCCCATAGCTTTTTGCTGAGGAGAACTCTTGTCGTTGTACCAAGATGCATTATTTGAAACAATCTTCTCCACTAGTTCTTCGCCAACCTCAGATGGTAAATCAGGAAAGGCTCCGCCACCCGAAGCATCCAGCATCATCTTTCCTTCATTGTTGAGTCCGCTATAGAAGTAGAAAAGAACCTCACAATTAGTCAAATTTCCCTGAGGGCAAGCTCTTCTCAGCACCTTGAATCTCTTCCTTGCTTCAGCCAGTGTTTCTAGAGATCCTTGCTTGAACTCTTGTAGTTGCTTCTTCAACTTCAGGGTCTGACGTAGGGAATTACTCTTTAATAAAGGCACTATGCAGCTGTTCCCAAGTCTGGAGGTGGTGGTGAGGATAGCTGTCCAAACACCTCTGCGCATCGTCCCTCAATGAGAAAGGGAAAAGCATCATTCTTACCTGATCATCAGTTAACCCAGGTATCTTAAAAGTCTGGCACATCCTCAGAAAGCGGGTAATATGCGCCACTGGGTCTTCTATAGGGCCTCCTCCAAATTGGTTATTAGACACCATGCTTGTCACCGCCGGCTTGATCTCGTAATGGTTGGCAGTAATTCCCGGCACTTGAATGCTATCATACTCTGAGACGTCTGGCGTAAGGAACTCTGCAATGGTCTGGCACTGATAGAGTGGATTATTGTGCGGTACATAATCATTTTGTGGAGGAGTCTGCTGTCTAGGCTGGAAAGCTGGTTGTTGAGCAGGTGGGACTTGGGGTGGATTACGGTATTGGTTCTGGTAAGGATCTTGGTATTGTGGCTGATTTTGGAATAGGTTTTGGGTGACTAGTGGTGGATTCTTTCTGGGCTGGAAGACGGGAATACTCTGCCCTGCTCCTTGCATCCCATAGACTTGGTTTTGGAAATTAGTTTCAGGAGCAGTGGGGGTATTTTGAAAAAGTTGATATAATGGAGGGAGGTTAAATTGTGGTGAAGGCTGATTTTGGGAAAAAATTGGAGTGCGGTAGTTTTGAAAACCTGGAGGGTTTCTAGGTGAAATTGGTGGAGAAGATTGGAGTGATGTGTTGATGTAGAATCTTGTTGAGATGTAGTGTTAGGGTTACCAGACATCCCTGCAGTTCCAGATGAAGATTGATGGTCCATGATGATTTTCTCCTTTTGGGCCTTGCGGTTCTGTCTGTCGAGCTTTTCGATCTCAAGATTAAGAGGGATTAGCGATTCTCCCCTCTTAGAACGTGTATGCCTACGAAAAACTAAAAACGGACCGCTAAATCAATTTAACCCTTAAGACCGACACCGTCCCCGACAACGGCGCCAAAAACTGATATGAGTTTTCTCGCACTTAAAATATATTGTAATATAGTAGTGTAAGTACGAGTATCGTCTCCACAGGGACGGACAAAAGGCAATTAAAAATTAATTAAATTCATCGATTAAAAATAAATAAAATAAATGCATCGTGCGAGATTTGGTTGATTTGAAAATTAACTAATGCGAATGAGCAAATAAAAATAATTGATTGGGTTTGTTGGGCCGCGGGTATGCGGTGTCAGCAATCTGCCATCCTGCCGGTGCAATCAAACCGCGTGGCGCTTCGCTTGTGCTATAAAGGGGGGGGGGGGGGGGGGAGTGTGCTACACTATCAGCGATTGCTTTTAGTGTAGTGGTAAGCGCAACCAACCACAAGTGGTATCAGAGCCAAGGTCACGGGTTCGACCCCCGGCAACAGCATGTTGCGCAGTTGAGGCTGGCAGGTCCTGGGGGGAGATTGTTGGGCCGCGGGTATGCGGTGCCAGCAATCTGCCAGCCTACCGGTGCAATCGAACCGCGTGGCGCTTCGCTTGTGCTATAAAGGGGAGGAGCGTGCTACACTATCAACGATTGCTTTTAGTGTAGCGGTAAGCGCAACGATCCACAGGGTTCTTCTTAATTAACGACGAAGGGAACAGGGATTGATTCCGGGGTAATCAGATTTCTGGCAGATCAGGCTTAATTACATGAATTTAATTTAATTGAGCCTAGCTAATCAATACTATGTTCTTACCGCTCTCGCGGCGTAGAGTACAATAATTTAGGGGACCAGGCTGATCTCTCATGCGACAGGATCCTAAATTATTTCCAAGACGAGCGAGCTTACGGCCCCTTAATCGCTACTAATCTCTTAGCGAACGATTAAGTGTGTGTGTGTAGGTCTTAGAATAAACTAGATCTCTCTTAATTTATTCTACAAGCAATTGTAAGTCTAGTCGTGGTTCCAGGTTACAAAAGATAGCAATTAAACTGTTCAAACACAAATTAAACGACATTTATGAAATTAAACCATCAAGAAACTAACCATACATCATGATTAACCCCTTCATCAATCCCAAATCCCTAATTAAAACTACTCCCGATTCATAATCAAAGAATCAATAGAATTGGGAAAAATATAAATAATTGTCATTAATTAAAAAGTAGGAACTTGCAAAGAATCTTAAAGAATTGAAAAACCAAGGCTGAAAAGCTCTCAAAATTCATCCCTAAGCTTCTCTCTAAGTTCCATCCCCCTTAAATGGGAGCATATAGAGGCCTTATTTAAAGAAAAAGAGGCAAAATTCGACTAAAACTAGGTTTTCGGACCCACGCACGGCGTGCGTGGAGTCCGTGCGTCCGGAACAAATCGCGCGTTGCGCACCCACGCACGGCGTGCGTAACAGCCACGCACGGCGTGCGTACCCTCCAGTAGCTTCCTCGCTTCGGCTCTTGTGCACGCACGGCGTGCAAACTACGCACGCACGGCGTGCGTGCCTGGCGGTAGCTGCAGAGTTGTTTCCTCTCCGAATTTCACAATGCTTCTTTCATGAAAGTTGTAGCTAATGCCGTCCTGTATCCACCAGCTCTTGCCGAACTGTATTTCGATCATCCAATCAAGAGATATGAATAACATGGTGGAAGGTCTCATTCTGAAATTGTAACAGCGATCATCTGACTTCATCATCTGTTTGCACCTTTCTCCTCCCCGATTCGTGGAATAATGTCTTCATATGATTTGTAGCCCTTCAAGTTGGATTTCATAGGAAACTTGAGTTGTGTCCTTTGTATGCTTCTATAAAGAGATATGCTTGAACGATTGACAGAAGGTCATCCTGAATGCCGTTTTCAAGCTCTATTTGTCTTCTTTTGATCCCGTAACTGATTCTAGAGCTCTTTTGTATTCAAATCTTCATCGTGAACCTCCCGGTGACCTCCAAATCTCTCAATTATCTCTCGGATGCATCATCAATCATCCCGATTGCTTCTCAAGTGCTGGTACTGGGCTCAAATTCCCTGATTTTGACTCCAAAAGATATAAAACCTGAACCAATGCCCGGTAACATAACTTGAGCTAAAATTGAGACTTGTAACACCTTAAAGCTAGGAAAACAATCACAATTCGATCCCAACACGCATCAAATGTGTGTCTAAATATGGACTTATCAACCCACTTGGTGAAGTAGTCGACTGTGATGATGATGTAGCGGTTGTTGCCGGCGACTCTAGGCAGGGGGCTGACCTGGTCAATCCCCCATCTTGAGAATGGGATTGCAGTGCTGACCGGGGCGTTCTAAAGTACCTGGAATGCGTTACACTTCCTTGCGAGGTTAGCACAATCCCGCGCCATCATCGGTCAGAAATAGCCTAGGACGACGAGATGTCGGGACATGCTGAAAGGGACCTGATGTGAGGAGCAGACACCAAAGAGGACTTCTTCCATGGCTACTTCGGCCTCGTCCTAGTGCAGGCACTGGAGGAGAGTGCCATTGTAGGATCTTTTGTAGAGTTTCCCATTCTCAATGGTGTAACTTGGGGCCCTGAGTTTGGCTAGTTTGGCCCTCTCCTCGTCCTGGGGTAGTTCTCCCGAAGCAATGAAGGTCATGATGTCGGATATCCAGTCCTCCCGGCGTTGTTGAATGCACATGATCGGGCTGACCTAGATGTTGTACATTCTTAACTCCTCGACCTTGGCTATCTTGGAGATGTGCTCCGGAGTGTCCGTGTTGAGTTTGGAGAGAATGTCGACGTCAGCATTCTCTGCCCTTGGGATCTGTGTGATCTCGTGGGTTTCAAATTCCTTGAGCAACTCCTCAGCCGCCTGTTTGTAGTGCTTCATCCTTCCTTCTTTGGCCTCGTATGAGCCCTCGATCATGCCCACCACCAGCTTGGAGTCGCACTTGATTCTGACATGTCGCGCTTTGAGGCCGGCGGCGAGTCTGAGGCCACTGAGGAGAGGCTCATACTCGGCTTCATTGTTGGACACCCAGAAGTTGAAGTGGATGACATAGTAAGCTCTGAATCGTTCAGAGGAGATGATGACGACGATGCCTCCACATGCTTTGGCGGCCGATGAACCATCAGTGAATAGGGTCCATGCTTCGTCTAGCTCTGCCCCGGGTATGGCGGCGGCCGTCTCCCTTGCCGTACACTCAGTGACGAAGTCGGCCAAGGCTTAGCTTGCCCCTTGATAGATGGCCTTGGCTTGATTTCTATTTGGAACTAGCTAAGGAAGATTGCCCACTTTACCATCCCTGAGGAACTAGTTGGGCTTCGCATAAGTGCGCCGAGGGGCTGCTGAGTCAAGACATGGACGGCATGGGCCTGGAAGTAGTGCCCTAGCTTCTTCACTGTGTGGACGATGGCCAACACCGTCTTCTCGATGGGGGAGTACCTGAGCTCTGCCTCGCGGAGTGTCTTGTTGACGTAGAAAATAGCCTTTTGCACCCCTTCATCAAAAGAGGGTCTCACCGGCTTTTGGCTTTGAAATTACGGGAGGGGATGAAAGGTACTGCTTTAGCTCCTCAAATGCTTGCTAGCACTCCACCGTCCATTTGAAGTTGTTGGCTTTGCGCATGATCTGGAACAAAGGGAGAGATCTTTCGGACGATTTGGAGAGGAAGCGGTTCAAGGCTGCAAGCCGTCCCGTCAGCCGTTGCACTTCTTTAACGTTGCGCGGCGGCTCCATGTATATGATGGCCTGGATCTTCTCCGGATTAATCTCAATGTTGCTTCGGCTGAGCATGTAGCCCAGGAATTTGCCTCCTTGGACACCAAAGGTGCATTTCTTGGGGTTGAGGCGGAGCTGGAACTTCTTCATGATCTCAAAGATTTCCCAGAGGTCGTCGGCATGGGTGGTAGCATGTTTTCTCTTGAAGATCATGTTGTTGACGTATGCCTCCATCGTTCGGCCGAGGACTGCTCTGAATATTTTGGCTACCATCCTGGTGTATGTGGCACCTGAATTTTTGAGCCCAAAGGACATGACGAGGTAGCAAAAAATTCCCTCCGGGGTCATGAAGGCCGTCTTCTCGGTGTCATCTTCATGCATGAAGATCTGGTGGTACCCTCTGAAGGCATCCAAGAATGACATCAACTCGCAGCCCATCGTCTCGTCCACCAACTGATCAATGTTGGGGAGAGGGAACGGGTCCATTGGGCACGCCTTGTTCAGATCAGTGTAATCAACGCACATATTGAATGTCGGTGGCTTCTGGGCGAGTACAACGTTGGCCAGCCAAGTCAAGTACTTCACCTCCTTGATGTGCTGATGGAGAGGAGCATGGTGACCTCCCCCTTGACGAAGTCCCGCCTTTCGGCCAAGAGATAGCGTCGCTTCCGCTTGACTGGCGTGGAAGCTGGATCGACTGACTGCCGGTGGGTGATCACCTTTCGGCTGATGCCTGGCATGTCGTCCGGCCCCCATGCAAAAATGATTGTGTATGACCGCAAGACCAGGAGGATGCCGTCGCGTTGGTCCTGTGGGAGTTGGTTACCAATTTTCAAGACTTGCTCCGGCCGGGAAGCATCCAAAGGGACCACTTCGATGTCCTCAATCGGTTCAGCATGTGGCCTCTCTTCGTCCTTGGCGACGGTCGCGGTGATGGTGTCTATTCTCTACTCGGCGCTGGCGGCTGGCTTCGTCAGCTTGAGATAGCATGCCCTCGTTATCTTCTGGTTCCCCCTGGCGTAGCCGATGCCGTTGCTGGTGGGGAATTTCAAGCATAAGTGCTTCATGGAGATGATGGCCTCCGGGTCCTTTAATGTTGGCCTTCCCCAGATCAGGTTGTGGGCGCACTCGAGGTTGACCACCATAAACTCCATTTCAATCTTGGTGTGATGGGAGCCGTCGTCGACTTCCACGGGGAGGACTATCGTGCTCTCGGCGTCGATAGAGTCCCCGGTAAAGCCGAACAACGGTGTCCGTATCGGCTTTAGTAGGGCCTTGTTCAACTTCAGCTGCTTAAAGGTGTCAAGGTACATGACGTTGACAGAGCTCCCCGTATCGGTGTAAGTGCGATGGATGATAGAGTTGCCTATATCACATCGAATAACGAGGGCTTCCCTGTGTGACGCGGTGCCTGGAGGCAGATCCTTATTGGTGAAGGTGATCGCCTCCGTCCGCTGCTTCTTTGGCTGGGGGGAACGTGAAACACCTACCCAATGTAAAGGGATTCGGCCTGTTTCTTTCTCCGGGTGGCTAAGTCCACCCCAGTGTTGTCTCCCACAATGAGGTGGATGTGGTTCTTCTTTGGACGGGGCTCCTCGAAGTCTTCGTCGTCTTCGCTAAGTCTTCCGATCTCACGCTTCTTCGTAGAGGGTTCGCCCCCATTTTTGCCGGTGTTTACCAACGTATTTTTGCGTGGACCACCTTTAACAAATTAGGAGAGTTCCCCCTGGCGAATCAGCCGCTCGATGGCTCTCTTCAGCGTGACGCAGTCGTCGGTGTTGTGGGAGGTGTTTTTGTGGTAACGGCAGTAGGTACCCCCCTGATGGACGGCGCAGATTTCCTTTGCCGACCGAGGATCCCTCTCAATGAGATCATGCCCCTCGGCATAATCGAGGATGGAGCTGATCGAGTGTGTGAGGGGAGTCCTCGGCCTTTCCATCCTTGGACGCCATGGACGATCCTTCTTGTTTTGTCCGTCAGATCCTTGGCGGTTCTGTCCTCCCTGACCTCGGTCCCCGGCCGAGGGTGCGCCTAGAGCCTGCGCAGAGTTTGTCTTTTTGGAGGGGTGCCCTCCATCCTTCTTGTGGTTGTGGAGCTCATCGGCGTCAGCTTATAAGTTCCCTCGCTAGAGCGCCTTTGTGTATGACCTCGGCGGGTCAGTAATGAGGCTCCTTGCGTACGGGGTGCTGCAGAGGGTGCCCTGAAAAAGGACAAGGAAGGTGCGCTCATCGGCTCCCTCGACTTCGTTGGTCTCCCTCGTCCATCGGTCGATGAAAGAGTGGAGTGATTCGTCGTGCTGCTGCTTGACAGAGAGGAGATGAGTGAGGGATTTGCGTTGCATGATTTGCCGAGGGCAGTCCCTAAATCCCCCACATTTTGGGGCTGAAGGATTTTGTTGATGCTTTTTAACATTTTGTGATTTTCCCGAGGGGATTCTCCAATCCCCAACTCCTTGAGGCACATGTAATGTGGTGAAGAGGAGTAGAGTAATGCCTGTCTTCAGTATGGGGCCGAGGGCTGACTATTTTCGTTTCATTTTGGGGGGATGCCTCATTAAAAACCTCATTAGGAAAAACCCTGTGGGAAAAAATCTTAATGAGGGAAAAAGAGTGCACCGAGTTCCCCCAATGATGAATCGAAAAAGATGGACCCTTGGTCTGAGTATAATGTTGATGGCGAAGGCTACCCTTGATCTGAGGGCTTGGTTGTTGATTTGCCGAAGGTACCTTGTTGATGTCCAGGGGACGTCGAGCGTGTTGGGCCGCGGGTATGCGGTGCCAGCAATCTGCCAGCCTGCCGGTGCAATCGAACCGCGTGGCGTTTCGCTTGTGCTATAAAGGGGGAGGAGGGTGCTACCCTATCAGCGATTGCTTCTAGTGTAGCGGTAAGCGCAACGATCCACAAGTGGTATCAGAGCCAAGGTCACGGGTTCGACCCCCGGCAACAGGATGCTGCGCAGTTGAGGCTGGCAGGTGCTGGGGGGAGATTGTTGGGCCGCGGGTATGCGGTGCCAGCAATCTGCCAGCCTGCCGGTGGAATCGAACCGCGTGGCGCTTCGCTTGTGCTATAAAGGGGGAGGAGCGTGCTACACTATCAGCGATTGCTTTTAGTGTAGCGGTAAGCGCAACGATCCACAAAGGGGGGTCCCCTGGCATTTATGCCGAGGGCTTACTGTTGATGAGGGGTTTTTAAACATGACAGCCCGAGGGTTGGATGCATTGTTGCGCGAAGGGGATCGATTGGGGGCACCTCCTGGTTTTCAAAAAATAACCATTGGAATATGACCGTTGGAGATGGCTTCCACATGGCGCGTGCTCGTTGGCTGTCTATGGGCGGGCGTCACCGGTTGGTTGGACCGACGGTTCGTAATGATGAATTTGGCGTCCGGGGGCCCGGATTTCGGCCCAAGCCCGGATTGAGGAGTCTATAAATACCCAAGGCCTGACCTCATTCCCCCTTATGCATCCTTGTTGTAGCGAAGATCTGGCAAAAATTTCCTAGAGAGAGAAACCATTTCCTCCGATCAAACTCAGCTTTCAAGGTCAGTTCTTCGCTTTGTTCTTCCCTCTTTTAGTAGGTTTTGCTTCGCGGCCTTAGATCTAGTGTTTAGAGATCCTTAGAAAAATTACTTCCCTCGAACCTTTCGAACACATTACCAAGGATGTCGTCCGGGAGTGATTCTCAAGATATTTCGAGGGAGCCGTCGGCTGAAATAGAGACCATATCTGATGTGGAGTCTTCGAGAGAGGAGGCCTCGTCGAACAGTGATTCCGCTGTCGCCAAGGAGGTGGAGAAGGACCTCAGACCTGAGGCCGAGGCTGAAGAATTCGAGCAAGTGAACGAGGACGAGGAGCTGGCCCTCGCCGTTCAGACTGCGGAGGAGGAGGAAGAGAAAGAGAGGCAGAGAGTTACCGTCGCTATCCTTCCCCCACGCAACACTGGTGAAGCCAACAGTTCCCGGACTCTAGACCCGACGCCTCTCTGGGTGGCCCCGGGGAAGAAGGCCAAGAAGAAGACGGGGACTCCCAAGAAGAAAGGGAGCATTGTGGATCAAGGAAAACCCATCGCCATACCAGAGGGTCATTCGTTTCTGAACACTGAGGCCCTTGTGCTTACTGCTGAGGTTGAGGGATGACTGGGCGGAGTGCTACGTTACCCAGATTCATGTCGGGCCTTCGGCGACTGTGGTGGAACCGGGCCCAAACGATCTACCATCCCAAGCGCCCGAGGGGTGCTTCGCAGTCCACATTCTCTCGGTGACAATGGGCCTCCGCTTCCCGTTGCACCCTTTCCTCCTTGAATACCTTCGGTACATTGGTCTAGCTCCCTGCCAACTTACCTTGAATAGCCACTCGTACATCGCCGGTTTTCTGAACCTCTGCCGGTCCCGAGGGGTGACTCCTAGCCTTGATCTGTTTTTCCAAAGCCTCAACCTCTGCCGGGCGGGTCACGCTAATTCCGAGGGCTTTGCTAACCTGCAGCAGATCGCCAAGTGGAAGCTGTTCTCTGACGCGCCCTCGTCCCATAAGGGCTGGAAGGACCAGTTCTGTTATATCAAGATGGCAGTGAACCCGTTTCCGGGGGAGTTACGGAACCACTTTAGGCGTCATCCGAAGGTGGAGGGTGCCACTTTTGAGAAAGATGGAAAGAAGCTTTCGGCTATTCCAGAGGGGCGTGAGAAGCACGTGAAAATCAAGGAGATGACCCTCGAAGATGGTTTGTATAAACTCAGCTTCCGACGCTACCGCTTCTTGGGGGAGATGGATGAAAAGTACCCCGTTCTCGACGTAGCCTTTGAGAGCGCAGGAGGAAGTTCCCGGGGGCTCCATTTTTATGCACTTAGGATTTTTGTAGCTTATATACACATATTGTTTTGTCTTGACCCCTCGGCCTCATTTATTCGTGTTGTCTTGAAGGCGCTAACATGGATATCAACTCCTTTGCCGCTTTAAAGAAGCAAAAGGCGAAGGGCCAGGGCAAAAAGGAGCAGGGCAAGCAGAAGCCCGTCGGCGACTTTTTCAAGAAGGGTGGTGAGCCCCCTCTGATGATGCCGCGAATAGTAAGGCAGTGGGCAAGGGTATAGTCCCCAAGGGAAGAAGCCCAAAAAGGGGGATGCCGGGAAGAAAGCTCCCCCGCTCGTGATCGTGGATGAACACTCCACTTCTGAGCCGCATGTTGTGGTGGCGACGGCTCCATCCCATCCTCTTTCGGGAGTATTCCCTCAGGAGACCCTACAGCTCTCCCTCGTGAAGGGGACTGCCGTGATGCACGGTACAGTGGAGCCGAAGGCATTCCTGAAGGGTATCACTTCAGAGATGGACAGGGCTGCCCTCGGAACCTACGACGATGATGCCCTCCAAAATAAAATCCTCCGGTCTTCTCTTACTGTAAGTCCCTTTTCCTTTGTTCCTTTTCTAACCACTTAGAATACTTGCATAATAATCTAACTCTTTTTTCTGTTGTTAACAGGCTTGCATAGCCCTCGGTGAGAAGGCCCAGAGGTTTGATGAATGGCACCTTCAGAAGGCCCAAGAGGATGAGGCCATGAAGAAGCTCATCCATGACAAAGACGCTTCCCTCCGGGAAATGTGCAGGCTGGAGGAGGCCCTTCGGCAGGCGAAGGCTGAGGCAGAGAGAGCTACAACGGAGAAGGCCGAAGCTGAGAGGGCCGGTGCTGAGGCCACAAAGAAAGCCGTCGAGGAGGCCGAGGCCGCCAAGGCGGAAGCCGTCGCCAATGCCCGGGGAGATGTTGTTGCTGCCTTCATTGCCGGGGGTTGAGGGCCGATGACCAGAGTGAATGGGTGGCCTCGGTGGTGGAGGCCTCGGTGGATGCTTGGGTGAAAGGCCCCGGGGCAATGTGGTTAGCCCGCAAGGGGGAAGATTATTATGCTGGGGGGAGTTTTTCACTCAAGCCCTCATCTACAGAAGGCTGTCCCGGCACTATCAAGTGGATCCGAAGGACTTCGATCCTGCAGCATATGGCCTCCCCCCCCCCCCTCAACCTGACGTCAGAATCCCCCTCCCCCCGGATGTTGAGAGGCCGGATCTCGAAGACTCTGTGCTGATGCAAGAAGCACTGGGCGATGATGAGGAGGCAGAAGGGGATGCCACTTCCAAGCCAGTGGAAGAGGTTGCTGTTGAAGCTGTCAATCCATGATTCGTATTTAGTAACTTTCGGCCTCGGCCTCTGTGTAACAAACACTTAACATTGTCCTTTTCTGTTTAATGTATGCCTGCCTTCGGGCTGTTTAACTCTATTCCTTTCTCCTCTTTCTGGTGAATGAATGCATGCCTTCGGGAATTTTGAATTTCATTCCTTTTGTTTCTTCTGATAAATGAATGCCTTAATTCTCCTTTATGCTTTCTCCACGGTTGTATGAATGTATGTCTGCATGACGAATTGATCGAGGGCCAATCAATTAGGACTTAGAAATTTTTTCTAAGTGTTGAGTACCACTTGGTCCTCGGTTAAAATCTTCCTTTATGTACTTTATGCTGTGTGAATGAGTTGTAAGCCCTCCTCCATTGATGGTCGGGGGCCAATAGTTTAGGACTTAGAAAATTTTCAAAGTAATGTTCACTGCTGGGCCCTCAGCTGATGTCTCCACTTAGTCCGCACAAATGCCGCGAGCTGACTGCCGGCTCGAGATTTAGGACTTAGAAACTTTTCGAGTGGTGCTTTGCCACTAGCCCTCGGCTGACACGTCCCACCATATGTCCCTGGAGGAACTGATGTTGTGGACTTAGCCAAATTTTGAGTGATGCCATGAATATGCCCTCAGCTTATAGTAGTCTTAGGCAAAGTTTTCCTTAGCAAAGGATGATGATGCCGGGGGCCCTAAGTCATGGACTTAGAGAATTTTGTATTGGGTCTACAACCAGCAGCCTCCGGTGCTGACTGTGGTGCCTTCGGTATGGCCGGAGGATACAGTAGTGATCATCAAACTTGGCCCATTCCTAGCATATGAGCCTCCGGTGATGTTGGATTCCAAAGTGTGGACTTAGGACTTCTTGAGTCCAATGTATTATAGCCGGTGCCCTCAATCCCTGTTGACTTCTCGAAAGATGTACAATAGGTGCCTTTGGCTTTGTGTAAGGAATATTTGTAATTAGATTTTGATGATGCTAGATTAATTAGGACTTTAGAGTACCCCTCTTTAGAATTAATGTATTAGAATTTTCATTTGTAAAGTTCTTAGTATAATCGACTACCAGAAGACCTCCTGACATAAGATCTTTGGTTCTCTGCCTTAGAACAGAAGACCTCAGGGTCTCTGTTAACCTTTACTCTGACAGAAACCCTCCTGGTTCTCTGTTAGTTATATTCTCAACAGAAGTGCTCAAGACCTTCTCTGATCAACTCTCTGATAAAGACACCAGAAGGCCTGACACTTAGAAGAATTCCACCAAGCCGGGAAATCAACTGAAAGATTCCTTCAACGGCTAGGAGTATTGAACGGAAAAGCTACAGTGCACGCATTAAATGCACATTTAATGCTCCCCATACTCCGTAGAGTAATTGCAGATGATTGGACGCAATGTCAGGATTACTTTATCCCAAAATAGTAACCCGCCAACTTTACCGGGTCCTACTGGTCAAGTCAACTGCTCGCTCATTTAATGCAGTTGTCCTCCTTCTCCTCCAACGGGAAGACAACCTCAGTATAAAAGATACACTACGAAGAACAACCGGATAACTTTGCTAACCTTTGCTACAACTCTGCATATACAATAAATTCAAACGCTACATAGCAAAAAGCCTCCTTGTGATTAAAACGTCATCATCCTCTACAAGAGAAGGCAAAAGTTGGAAAAATCCTTATTTCCAACTCAGGCAAAGCTTCAAGTGTTCTTCAACTCTTCAAGCTCATTACTTACAAATCCCTTGTAACGAAGCAAGTTGGAGGAACCCCAGTTCTAAATAGAACCTCTTCTTTCACAAGAAGGACGTCCAAGTACCTGGAGCTGTGAAGTGGTGATACTTCTGGAAAGCTCAGTGAAAGGACCAGTCTTAGGGAAGCCGGAAGTGCATCCAAGAAGACATCTACACTTGAAGAAGACGTGGAGAGATTCTTAAGTGATAGGGCTAAGGCATTGTAAACGGAAGTTTTTACGAGCTTAGTGGAATAGTGGATTAGAGGAACAAGTTGTTCCTTGAACCACTATAAAAAGCCCTGGTGTCATTTACTTACTGCTTTACATTCATTGTTTTCATTTGAATTGTCTAACTCCAAAGACTTGGTATCTGTGTTCAGCAGAACTGGTCTTGTGAGTTAAAGAAGGCCTACTGCCTTTGCTTCTCTGAGGCTATTAACAGAACTCCCTACCAGAACCTCATCCGCTGTCAGTCTGTTCTGCCAACAGAACAGGCTATTCTGTTAAATCTGGTACTTAGCTTGAAAAAGTTAAAAACCAATACAGTCTATTCACCCCCCCTCTAGACTGTATCCAGTACAATCGGGACCAACAAGTGGTATCAGAGCCTCCTTGTTCTAATAATCTCTTAGGTTATTTGCTGAACAAAGATCCACTTGTTTTTCTGTTGTATCTCATTTTTATCTGATATAATGGATCACTCCTTGTCCAAGAATCTTATGTTTTCAGATCTTAAGTTTGATGACTGGAGGATCCGGATGAAGGCACACCGCTGTGCTCTTCATGATGAGATGTGGGAAGTACTTGACATAGGACCCTTCACAAGCTTCCAGAAGGTCAACCCTGAACATGCTATTGACAACACTAGACCTCAGATGATCAATAAGGCCAAATCTGAGTGGACCACTGAAGAAAGAAGGAAGTAAAATCTGGACAACATAGCTAAGGATATTCTTTACAAGTCCATCGATGATAGGTACTTCAACAAAATAAAGAAGTGCAAAACAACAAAAGAAATATGGGATACTCTTGAGCTCATTGGAGCTGGTGATGAGCAAGAGAAGGACAACAAGCTAACAATAGCCAACAAGAAGTTTGATGACTTCAAACTTCTCCCTGGTGAAAGCATCTCCAAGATGTATGACAGGCTCCTCACTCTCACTAGAGAAATCTCTGAGCTTGGCAAGGAACTCACCATCAAGGAGATCAACCTAAAGGTGTTGAGGGGACTGCCCTCAGCATGGAAGATGAAGGTGGTGGCTGTCCAAGCCAGCAAGGATGTGAAGACTTATCCCACTGATAAGCTCATTTCAGATCTCAAAGCTCATGAGTTTGAAATGATTGAAGAAAAGGAAGATGTACCAGAAGAGAGGACCACTACAGCCCTCACTGCCAGCACATCAAAGGTAAATGATTTTGACCCTTCAGTACTTTTATCTGACGAATATATGGCTGCTTTTGCTAGGAGATTCAAGAAGTTCATGAAGATTCCCAAAGATGGAAGAAATCCATCATTCAGCAGAAAGCCATTCCAGAAGGTCAAAACAACAGAAAGCAGTGGTGAGCTTCTCTGTTACAACTGCAGACAACCTGGACATTTCAAAGCAGAATGTCCACACCGAAGAGTGTCCAAGAAACAAGGGCATGATGGAGAAAAGAAGAAGTATGAAGACAACTCCAGAAGGAAAAAAGCACTTGTGACAGAACAGCTCGAGAAAGACCCTCTGTCAGAGACAGAATCCAGTTCTGACTCAGACTCTGATGAGGCCTTATGTTGCCTTGATACTGAGACAGAAGACCTATGCCTCATGGCTCATTCTGATGATGAGGTAACCTCTACTTTTGCATCTAGTTTTTCTTCGGTAAGCTTAGCTTTTGATTCTGATTTAATGTCAGAATTTTGGGAAGAGTTTAAGGCCATCCAAGCCACTTATTCCTCTGTAACTGAAGAAAACAGTAAGTTAAAAGCTGAAATTCTTGACTTGAAAAAGGAGGTTGAGATCAAAATCAATCTTCTAATTAAGGAAAGAGATCAGCTCGAGACTGAAAATGTTTCTCTTCTCAAGAGAATAAGAGAAATAGAGCCTCTCGAGATTAAGTACAAAGCTTACCAGAAGGCCCAGTCTTCCATGGAAAAGATTTTACTTGATCAACAGATTGGCACTGGCTTTGGTCTTGGTTATGGCTCAACAGAATCAGGTGAGCCTTCTGTAATGCCTAGCACCAGTGTTGCTAAGGCAGATAAGGTCATAGTGCCACTGATTTCTAGCCCCATTTGTCAAGCTGGTGTATCTGGCACCAAGGTTGTTCATGAGGAAGTTAGACCAGAAAAGGGAAAGATAAAGGTTCAACAGAAACCCTTTTTGAAAAATAATGAACCTGACAGAAAACGTAACAACAGAAAAGGTTTTCAAGATAACAAAAATAAGAGACCATTCATTGACAGACAACCTCATGACAATCGTGCCAGAAATGATCTCCAGAAGGGCAAATATCAAGAGAAAGTTAACTTTAGGCAGAAGAGGTTGGCTGGTCAACCTCAGAAGCCCAAAGCTAACCGTCCCTCTGCTCTTGATAGTATATGGGACTTCTTTCCAACAAAGAAAGCTATGCAAAAGTATGTAAACAGGAAGCATGACCCTCACAAGCATCTGCCCAAAGTGAATCACACTTCAGTTTACTATAACTACCAGGTGGACAATGGGTACCACCCACCAAGGTTTCACTTGATGAGACCAAAATGGTACCAACTACCCATACTTCATGACCCCCCAGGACCCAGCATTGCTTGGGTACCTAAATCTTTCTTTTGATCTTGCAGGAACTGTGTGCTGGAGCCATCTCAGAGCAAGAATGGTTTATTGATAGTGGATGCTCCAGGCACATGACAGGTGACAGAAGTTGCCTAACTGAGTTCCAGAAATGTAAAGGACCTAGAGTTACCTTTGGAGGTAATGACAAAGAAGGTCAAACAAAAGGAAGAGGAAAGCTGATCAAGAACCAGATAGTCATTGATGATGTCTCATATGTCAAAGGACTGAAGTTCAACTTGCTGAGTGCTAGCCAATTCTGTGACAAAGGCTACACTGTTGAATTCACAAAGGACTTCTGCTATGTGAAGCATGAGACAACAAAGGAAGTGGTTCTTACAGCATCAAGGAAGAAGAACATCTATGTGGTTGATTGGAACACAGCAAAGAATGGAGTTTGCCTGATAGCCAAGAGAGATTCAAAACTAAGCTGGGACTGGCACAAGAAGCTTAGCCATTTGAACTTCAAAACAATCAACAAACTGGCAAGAGAACACATAGTTGATGGACTGCCAGACATAGTTTACAAGAAAGAGACCCTCTGCAGTGCATGCCAGAAAGGAAAGCAACAGAAGAACTCTTTCAAACCCATTGCTGGAGATCTTTCTACAAGTCCTTTAAATCTGATTCACATGGATTTATTTGGACCTGTT